ATTGTTTTATTTCACGTGTGTAGTCGACTCCGGCATGAATGAAATGTTTAAACCATGTATCCAGTACAGTATTACTGCAAGCGATAGGTATGCACGTGTTTAGGAGTAACGGTGCATATATAATTTGTTACACCATAGGTTTTGTGCGGGTTTTCTAACGTGCTTTCAAACGTCCTCAATGTCGTCACGAAACGCGTTTGCTACTTCCGTGTTTACACATGAAAGTTACACTTTGTTTTGAAATTTTAAGAACGTTAGATCAAGAAACCGGGCATGAGTGGTAACTACGTCAAAAGAATACAAGGCTACCAAAATATGAAGAACTTAAGTCGTTCTTGGGGAGTAGATGTACATCATTTAAGTTTTCAGAATCTTGGTCTACTAGCAAGGGTGAAACCAAAAGAAAAAATAATCCTAATAATTCTAATTTCTTGTCTAAAAAAGTAACCTTAGCGGTCACGGATCAGAAGAAGATAACATTGATATTTGAACATGATAAGCGCGAATGTTGTGCTCATTGCTCAGGTTAACATAAGATTTATTATTGTGAATTATTTAAAAAACTGTCCATTTCCGATCGAGTGGATGTAATTCGAAATACTAGATTATGCTTTGTTTTTCACCAGCGCGTATGGCAGTTAAATGTAATTCTAAGTACAATTGTTTCAAGTGTAAAAAAAGACATAATTCATTGCTTCATTTCGAGAAAACAATTACTTTAGCAACAACAAACTTGGAAAATGATAAATTGGCTGAAATTGATGAGGGTTCGAAAATATCTATTTTAGTAAAGGTGAATAACGGATATGTGTTTTTATCGACAGCCTCTATATTAATTAAGGATAATCGGGAAGTAGATTAAAAGTTGTCACATTGTGTTAGACAGTGGCTCTAAGATAAATTTTATATCAAAAAAATTGGCCAATAGATTACAATTAACTTCGAAAAGGTCCATCCTACCAATCAATGGCATCGGTGCAAGTTAAATACAAGCAGGATCAGTTGTCGAGGTTCGATTGAAGTCTAGAGTGACTAACTTCAGTTTAAAAATATCTTGTTACATTTTGTATGTTATTATTGATTCACTCCCTACAGTTTGCGGAACTAAACTTTTTTATATCTCATTGTCTTCTTCAGTGATAACGACGAGCATTTTTCGTATCTATAGATATCGATTTTTAAAGATATATTCAATATACTCACCGTGATTACTTTATCAGTGAATACTTGTACATTTCTATCTCATCGTATTAAAAGTATAAATTTTACACTATCTAATCCATCCAATACATAAAGTGTCTAATCAATACTCTTATTGCTATTTAAAAATATTTTTTTTTGATTGTATGTCACCAAATATAAAAAATAAATATACCGTTATAATTCAACACAACCAAACTATTTCATCCGACCAATATATTGAATTGCTATTAATCATCCACTTTAACTTTAAACATTTCGTAACCGAAAAAAATTATACAAATGTATAAAATAATAAATATATTAATTACAATATAATGCATTTAATATATGATCTATTATATCAAATATCTACATAATAATTATTTAGATTATAATTGTTATACTCATAGACACCCCTAGGCACCCCCAGAAATGTTGTAAACGGGGCCTTACAATTTAAATCTACGAGTAAAGGACCCGTATTTTTTAACTAATGTTTCTCAAATTAAATGTTATTTATTCTAAAATATTTGATAAAAAATAAATTATATTTCATAATAGTAAAAAAACTAAATTTTTTAAAGTTTCGTGCAAAAACTTTTTATGATAATATAACAACTACAATTGACTAAAACAGTACAAATTAAAAATTATTAAACCTATCTAAGAAAAATATACAAGATTCTAGAAAAACATATTCATTAGAACTAATATACCACGATGTTAAATATAAAATTTATTTTATGTTTATTTAATTATTTATACTTTATAATTTATTAAATGTTTTATTAAGATAGGGCCCAAAAATATTGTAAGCACCCCCTGAAATACAAGTCTGCGCACACAATTATAGTATGGGCTCAACTGTGGTCGAACAATTTTACACGCGCACCCGATATATTGTCTGCGAAAATATTAATCAACTAGTCCACTAGACGATGTACACAACAAACGACGACGAATGTAGACCGAGACAAATTACTTGACTTACCTATTATATTTTATATAGTTTGTACATACGTTTTAGTTTTTTTTTTTATTATTATTATTATTCTCCCGTCTGCAGAGACAATGCATGTAATAACGCTCAGCACGCACCACATTATGTACAGCAGGTAGGTAAGTAAATAAGTATATATATATAGGCGTGTTATCGCACATAGCATTTGTCCCCAGCGAAATCCGTTTCCGACTGTGTAATAGGTTTTCGACATCTTCCCCACGGCTGTAAAAATTAGATCGGTGACCCAAAGTCACATTATAAATTAAACAGATGTATCAATAATAATTATTCAATTAAAATCTCTTATAATAGTTGCGTCCCATGGTGGCCATTGGCGAAAATACAAATAAGTAGACATTGTGCAGGTACGTAGGTATACTTTTTTCCCGAGTGTCTGGCATAGATTCAGAGATCGAAAACAATACAAACTAAGTACGCAGTGGATAGGTACCACGAATCTTATGTAGCACCACACATATAATATCATATAATGGTATAAGATATCAGAGAAGCGATATATCCGTCAGTAACTTGTATACAATGACCGGTACTAATAATAATGTAAGGAAATACGGTTGAACGTATATGTTTTATACATACTTCTTTTTTTCATTTAATTTTCTCAATTTTCGATTAATGATTAATTACGTCATAAACCTATAACACTATTTATTTATAATAGGTACATACTTTTGCAATGATATAATATTGTTTTATCAGTTTTATAGAGATAAAACGATAAAATCTTTTAAATAATTATCATAACATCAAACATGCATTAGATTATTATTTTGACATTAAAAATTATATTATTTACTTAGTCATCATAATATTATTTATATCACGTATCAAGGAAAGGTACATACTATATACATAATATGTTACGTGAAATTTTTTTTTAAATAATGATTGTATCACATTTTCCCTAAGTTATTTTTCTAGCTTAATCGGAGTAATCATAAAACATTTATACAAAACCTATCCACTTGGAATAATTCTCATAATTATTCTTAATTTACGTTATGTTATGATTTTTCACACGCTCCACAAACAATTGCAATTAATGTCTAAAGTTGACTAAAAACAGAAACGTATTTATGTAACCATACTAATAACAATTTTGATAGTAATAAATTAGATAAAAAATAATTTTAAAAATAGATGAAACTACTATGGTATTTTAAATAATATTAATTTTATTATTTATTACATTTACATTTAAAATGTATACCTTTAATAATTTTTTATGAAATTTCCGAAGTATAGGTTACATTTAAATGCAATTTGTAAATAATACATTTCAAAACAGTAAAACCTAAATTTCTTAAATTACACCACAATAATATGTTAAATGTTATAGATGATAATTAAATTTATAAAAAAATTATTAAATTATTGAATTCATAAAAGAAATAGAAATAATATTAAAATACAAGTTAATATAACAGTATTTTAATAGTCATAAAATGGCAGTATTTTTATTAGTGATAAGTTGGAAATACTTTGAGTCATTGATTCTAAGACTTAATTTTAAATATAAATAACAAGATTAGTTATATTTACTTACTATCTTATTCGTTTTTTAAAAATACTTTTTAAGCTAAATTTGGTTAGTTAACATTTTATTAAACAGTGGTGCTTATATCGATATTGTTTTTGTTATAAATGTTATGTTAAATACGTATTATTTATATCAAAGTTTACCTTCAATTATCATTAATACTGGTAGAAAAAGACAAAATGCAAATAACGTGATCATTTACTTGAGTGTTGTTTGTTCCTTTTTTTTTTTATTTACTCATATTTAATTTCAATCTAATGAAGTTTTGTAAAATTCTTCTTAGAATATTTGCTTTTATTAGTTATATTCATTAAAATTCAATTTTCAAACCTTAAAGGTGATTTCCCTTTGTATTTACTACACTTAAAAATTAAGAACAAAACTATCAACTTTCATTTAACTTGAAGGTAATATATTAAAAAAAAAAAAAAGAAAAAAAACAGTAGTCTCTGATTCAATGACATTAAAAAAAGAAATACTAATGATTGTGATTTTCTTTTCATTTCAAAACTTTACCTAATTTAACATTAATATCTTCATATTTTACTTTTATAAGATTTAACTTTTGTTAAAGAATCAAATGATTTTAATAAACTCCATATACCGAAAATGTAAAATATTGGTAAATTTATTTATGAAATTCACAAATTTACATCTATACGTAATTATTTTGTAACAATATAAATGTATATTTATTACAATGTAACGTATTATAATTAATAAACAATTGATTACGTCTTACAGGTTAACTTCAATTATTTACAGCATAATTATAATTTTTTTTCTAGATTTTTACTTTTAAGTGTTATTTCCAAAAGAAAAATCCTTACATTCGTTTCCGAAACCTAGATTCTACGATTAACAATTTTAAAATTAAATTTATATGTCTTTATGGATTCAATCCTAGTGTTATGTACGATGTTATCGACAAAATAGTACAACATATAAACATTATGTTTTAATGACGGCGATTAAAGTGCACATATTACCAGTTCAATGTAACGGTTTAAACAGTTGTTCGGCAACGTGCGGAATGACATCACTACGTCAGAAAGGTGTACACCGATGTCCGGTTCCCGCTATTTTTTGCGCGAGTAAATCATGGCTTTAAATTAGTTGCTACGTATAAGTACTCGTATATATATACAGTGATCATGTTTTACATTTTATCTATGAAACAAAATAAATTATTAAGAACTTCTTACACAAGTTATTCGTTATAACGATTTATTAAAATATCGTTTTTTTTTTCAGACATGACTTGCGGAATAGAATGCATCGATAAATGGCTGACAAAAGCCTTTTATAGACTTGGCCATGTAGTAGCCAAACATCCTGGGTATTTTCTCATAGTACCCGTATTTTTGACGATTATCTGTATCACCGGATTCCAAAGAGTGCAATTCGAAATCGATCCTGAATATCTATTTAGTCCTGAACATGGACCTGGAAAGACTGAGCGAGCAATTGTCGAAAGCCATTTTAAGATGAACTATTCATCACTTTTCAACCCTACCCGGATCACTAGACCAGGTGCAAAAATAAAATATTATTTGTGGTATAAATTAGTTTATAAAGTTCAACAAATGGTATCTCGTAAATTTAATATTGAACTATATAATTATAACCGTTAATTTTAGATACATAAGATATTGTATATTTATTAAAAAAAAATTTCTAAAAATTATTATTTCATTTTTTCCTTCAAATTAGTTTGATAAAATAATTTATCAAACTTAAAGCTACTATTGGAAATATTATTAGTCATTTTTTTTCAAAAACAGCCTATATTTATATATTATTTATGTTTTACCACACATTTATTATAATCACAGTTTAATTATGAAAACACGACGAAAGAGTAAAACAACATTGAGCTTAAAACAAATTAATATTAAAACAATAAAATATCTCAGAAAGTACCTCAAATATAATCTGAATTACCGCATCTGAAACGTATATAAAAATATCCTAACATTATTATATACAATCATACTCAATTAAATTTTTAGATCAGTAATAGTAGTATTGTTTATTTATAAAAATAATGCAAAATTAAGTTAATTTTATTGAAATAATTTAAATTTTTATTGAAATACAACTTTAGTGATTTTTATCATTTTAATACTTTAATTTAAGGTCGATTCGGTCGAGTTATCGTTATACCTAAACATAGTCGAACAATGTTATCCGTGGAAATATGGAAAGAATTGCGAGTACTAGACGATATCATCAGGAACGCAACCATCACTTGGGGTCCAGAGAACACTATATACAAGTACGACGATATATGCGCTCGGTGGATAGATCAGTGTTTCCCAAATGACATATTAAATCTTGATTACGTAATGGAAGATGTGGCTAATGGCACCTTAAAGCTCACGTTCCCCATCATGTTCAACCCAGTAACATGGGACGCGCATACGTTTCCAGTGTACTTCGGGGGAACCGAAATAGACGAGGATGGATTAATTACAAGAGTACCCGCATTACAACTCGTTTACTTTGTCACAGCCGACACAAAAGCTCAAGATCAAAGGTAAAATAAATAATTTTATATTGAATCAATAATATAAACATAGTAATAAATAAGAATAATAAATTTAAAAATAAAGTATATTTATGGTATTTCTGTTTCTCGAATTATTTAGATTAAATTTATTATTCTAGAGTACATGTGCAAATTCTAACTTTCAAAACGTGTACATCTTCATATTTTTGATTATGAGCAGAACGAGAAAACTATTGGTTTTATTACTTTTTTTTTTTCGGATAACAAAATATCAAATTAATTTTAACGCTTAAAAAAATCTGAATAACACAAAATCTAATTATAACTGAAAGATAATGGAGTGAATTTAATTACATATTTTCATTAGTTTGTGAGAAAATATTCTTATTTAACAAAACATTCACATTTATTACAATCTAACAACCATAAAATCATTTAATTTTACTACACTTGAAATAGAATGTTTTCTATTAACTTTTTTCAAATATGTTTGGTGATTAAATTTAAAATAAAAAATAAAAGCAAATTAATGCTTAATTCAAATTCGTTTATAAGCAATAGTATTATAATATTTGTTATAATATATACATATTAAACCTCTAATTTATTTAGTTTTTAAAATTGTCAGTGATGTTATTTTATTCACTAATGGACATTTAATAGACTTCCTTAAAATAATGAATACATAGAAAATGTTAGATTATAAAAGATATTGTAGTAGGGTATTCTTTAAATCTGTTAGACAGATTGTCGAATAAAATAGTTTGGTATTATCTTTACTAAATAAAAAGTATAAAACTCTTGCTGCAAGTATAATTACCTACAACATTTTTACATTCGCATTTTATCTGATGATTTTAAAAATATATGTTTTCTAATTTATTTAAAATTATAAAGTACACTTTATCAAACCAAGATCCATACGAATTGTAAACTTGCAATTTTTTATCAGAAAATGTATTACAAAATGTAATATAAATTATTAAACAAAAACATATTATATATTAATATACATCCATCATGATCTATCAAATATAATAATTATACATTTAAATAATAGTCATTGATACTCTTAGTTTTCCGTACATTTTAAATTCAAAAATAACATACAGCTAAAATATATAAATGTTTGAATATAATTTATTTTGCTATCGTCTGGACGAATTAAATACAATAATGAGCAGTTTACATGTGAATTTTCTTAAAATCCACCACGACTCCGTGACAAGTATTTGGAAACTCTTTTTATATCCGTATTACAATGTAATACAAATCTTTTTTTCCGAGAGGCAGTTATAACACTTTTCAGATGAATATAACGATAGTTACACTAACGATATTTACCGTTTAGCGATTTTTAAAGACGAAAATTCTTGACAATAAACGTACTTGCTACACGAATGCTGATTTAAACAAGTTTCCCACATGCAACAAACAACTTATTATAAATACTGGTTAACGACTAAAGAAACATGAAACCGAACGAAAAATTTACTTAAAAATTAGATATTATTTATTGCTAGGACTGATTAAGCATTGAACTAAAAATCCTAAAAAAAGACTAGATGCATTAAAGTTTATAATAATGCATATATGAAATGTACCAATGTTGTTAAAAATACTTTTAAAAAGTATTTCAAATAGGTATTTAAATACTTAAATTAAAAAGTTTTTTTTTTTTTTTATTTAATTTATCTTTGTCATAAACATTACAGCAATCCAATGAGATTAGTTAGACATAGAATCAGTGGCGCAACTAGTGGTGGGGTTTGAGGATTTTAACCCCTTCCAACATTTTTCTAAGGTCTTTACAAAAACAAATGGTTGAAAAAAAATGGTTTATCTTGAAGACGCGAAATGGCTGATTGATATGAAATATAAATATTATTCGTATTAGAATTGATACCAATAATAATATAACAAAATTATTCCTGTTGATCAGCAAGTATCTAATATATGTATTGCGTGACAGGGGCTCGGTTTGGGAAGAGGCGTTTTTGAACGCAGTTGGCAAGGCTGAGGACTCGGGAAGGTTCCAGCACATATCCACAGCTCGTTTCGGATCCAGGACGCTGGACATCGAGCTGGAGAACAACACCAGAACCGTAGTGCCGTATTTCTCGTCTGCATTTATCTTGATGGCCGTTTTCTCCATAGTCACGTGTATGATGACCGACTGGGTGCGCAGCAAACCTATGCTCGGACTCATGGGCAATGTGTCCGCCGCAATGGCCACGGTCGCTGCTTTCGGTTTCGCCATTTACATGGGTATACCATTCATCGGCATCAATTTTGTGTCACCGTTCCTCATGTGCAGTTAGTATCAAAACGTTAATTATATTATTTATATAATAAATCTGAACACAATATATCGCTGAAAAAAAACGATTTTTTTTTTCTTACGTTTAAATATCACGGCGATATGATTAGAATACCTATTATCTATGTAAATTATGTTAGATGGGTTCACTGTTATTGTATAGAACACCGATGAAAAAAAAAAAGCCCTAGCATATATTGTTTCGATAATTCGAAAATCTCTTTACCATGTTGTATATTTATATATATGAAGACGAGACTTACTCTTGCACTTACTCTTTTCAAAAAAAGGTTTTTGCAAATGTAAACCCCCTTTATAAAACTAGCACACTTCATATGGTCAGCACGTATTTTCACAAAATGTAGGTACTGTACATACCAGAATACCGATATAACCGGGATGAGAAATTATACAAAAATAGAAATTCTACCAGTTTTTTTAGACGTAAACCAAAACCAGATATTCAAATATTCAATTATGTCTAAGTGATTTAGCACAATTCTTCATAGTAAACGTATAGATACACACAAGAATAAAACTTTTTTTCATACGTATACATATTTACACACAAAAAATAATTATTCATAAATATTTTATAGCAGAAGTAGATAATTAAAAAAATATGTTATGAAGCTATTTCAATGAAATTTTTAATTTTTTTTTTTATATAGAATTTAAAACAGTGTATTTAACCATATTATTAAATTAGAACATTTACATTCATTATAAGTACTTACCAACTGAATGAATTTATCAGCCGCCTAAAAACATTTAGTTCAAATAACGGAACACATCATAATTAATATATGTTTATTTTATAATCGCTAGCAATGCAATTAAATATTTCTATTTGCATTTTAATAGTCTTCATAATTTGTTTTAGGTATACTTCTCTAACGTGAAGAAACTAAATAGGCTTATTTACGATTTAGTGATGAAAGTATTTTCAAAGTAAGATTAACTTTGGTACAACGAAATCTTTTGTTACTCGCAAAGTCACATATTGTATAATTTATATTAAATATTAATTGCTGTATATATAAGATGTTAATAATTTATCCGATACTATCCAAATATCTATTTCGTTCCTAAAATATTTTGAAGGACACATTGTAAGCTGAAAATAATCAAATAATAGTATGCTATAGAAACACATAAGCCGTTAAAACCTAATAAAATATGAAAAATATCCATGTTTTTATGGTTTTATGTGTTCATCAGACGTAGATACAGCTAAAAAGTAAATATGAATATATTTATTTGAAAGTGAAAATATAATTAAACAAAAATACTATACATTTCAAACAAATATTAAAATAAAATCATTATTACCCACACGAAATTGTAATGTACATCCGTATAACCAATTGTCCTATTTTAATACTATATAAACGATAGAAATAATTGTTGGGTCCTATAACAATATAAAACCAACAAAAAAAATAAAATAAATAAAAATAAAAATAAAAAGAAACACATAACTGGGAATAATCCATCCTATAGACGATTATTAGTCATTCCGTTGTCGTTCGCGACACTATTTTATTTGACACACATACGCTGACATTCACGTACATACGATGATAGAAAATTTTCACTTTTTACAGAATGAATATTAGCCAATATTTATTTACATTAAAGAACTTTGATTATACGGTATTCAGTTTATAGTTAAACCAAATAATCTTAATAAATATTATGCGTTTTCGTCTCAATTCACGCACTTTTCCATCAAAAATCCTCTAGTTGCATTACTTGTTCTACACCGCATTTAATAAAAAATTTCGTTACAAAGTGTTCGTAAATTATAATAACATTGAAAAAAAACTGCAGTTGATATAGAATAGCGGGGTGCACACGTAATAATATCTCAATCCATATTATACAACTATTAGTTAAAATCTCCTCGTGTGACTGAATTTATAATTAGAGTAAAATCGCCTATCGGACCGACGTCGAAATATGATAACAAAATCGTACTAACATTATATAACTTGTAGCTGACACTTTGCTTTACGATTTTTCTGTATTAAACCTACTTACTTACGTGCAATTTATCGATTGGTATACTTTTTAGGCATAGGCATCGACGATACGTTTGTCATGTTAGCTGCGTGGAGAAGAACGCCTGTTACCATGGACGTCCCGGAACGATTGGCCAGAACGCTATCCGACGCTGCCGTATCAATTACGATTACTTCGGTCACGGATATAGTGAGCTTCTGTATCGGGAAATTCAGTCCGTTTCCGGCCATACAAATATTCTGCTTGTATTCGGGTACGAGACAATAATTCATCACTATCAAATGAGTTATGATTAAATAATAAATCCCACAATTTTTTTATCCTCGGCATGTGTTCATCGTAACATTTTTTTAATTTTTTTTTTAGGATTCGCCGTATGTTTCATATTTGTGTGGCACCTAACGTTCTTTTCCGCATGCATGGCTCTCGCTGGATACGCAGAACACAACAACCGTCATTCGATCACATGCGTTAAAGTTAAACCCGTGTCGATGTCAGGTAATTAAACGCCAATATTTTAATATAACAAATAAATATTAAGGGAGTACATGGTTGTGATTCTCGATGGATACTTGAGTATCCAAAAATATTTTACTAAAAATAGATTCGAATTTCATAAAATTAAATTGTAAGTTTAAATACATGTTTTAATAGTTCAAGCGAGTCGTCAAATAATGCTAGATAAACAATACTTGCATTATTATTATTAGATGAATTATTAAATGAAAAGTACAATAACAATTTATTTATTTTTATATTAATATTTAATTATTTAAAATTTAAAAACAATAGTTTCTAGAGTTCATTTTTGGTTTTTTTTATAAGTTATGGTTTTTAATACACTCATATGTATCAAGATTCTTTTGCCTTTTCCTTTTACTTGTAATTTGAATTTTAAAACTCCTTTCTCTTTATATTATACCAATATTCACATTTCGTTTTCCACCCTATAATTTATATTTATGTCTTTTGCCTAAAATCTACTAATTATTTAACATATAAAACTAATGATTTAATAACTCATCTGAAGCCAAACTTATGATTATACGAATCTTTTTAACTTTATTAAAAAAATGTTTATGGGCTTGGAGCTGGGATAAATAATGGTTTTATTTAAAAGTGCTGTGAACAAAAAAAAAAAAAATGTAACATAATATGTCAGAAGACCTGGTCGTTATTTTATAGAAAATGAATCAATATAAATTCTACATTTGTAAGATTTAAATTAATGTTTTTTATAGTACATGATTTGTATATAAACTATAATACATCTTTAATACAATAGTATAAACAGTAACATACCAAGTAATAAATATTTCAGTCGTGGTTCTTAAAATTAAAACTTTTATATTAACCATTACAAAGTTAGTTTCTGCAGAAATCATGGTTGGTTTAAATTTATTTTAAATGGTAAATGATTACCTAGCAATTGGGAAAAATGTTTGTGTACTTTGACCTTCTTTCCGTAAACAAGATTCATTTTTTACAGTTTAACCCGGATTCAGGTGCACTAACTTATTATAACTATACTTAACTGGTTTTGATGATTCAATAAATTAGAGAATATCAAATTCACGTTAATATTTTATTCGCTTTGGAAAATAAATAGAACAAAATGAACTAAATCCGTTAAAATATTTCAAACATACGAGTATAAACATACTATTATTCAATAATTTACGTTTAAATTAAATATAAATATTAAAAATATATAAAGCTGCTTATTAAATACAATGCAAATTATGAAAATGAATAAATTAAACCCAAGTGACGTAGTTCCAGGGGAGTAAGGGGTTTCCCTCCAGATTTTTTTTTGATGATATTTAATTATTATTTATTAATATTAACATATTATAATAAAATTTTATTTTCATTTTACTATGATTAGGTATATATTAAAAATTAAGTAACAAAATAATTTTCGTAATAATACCATTTTAAAAGTAATATTATTATATAGGACCTCGTATAAAGATATACTAAGAATATTATGAATTGACTCTTAAACATCCCCTTAGAAAAAAATTGTATCTACGCCACTGATTAAACCGATATCCTTAAAATATGACCAGGCCACTAATTCGTGTGGTTGCAGAAGTACGTCCGAGCCATCGAAGTAACCATATGTTTACTTGTTACATTTTAAAACGAACATTGTACCTGTACATGTTAAAAACTATTGTACATTAACTAACCTTAGATCACTGCTCTTATAGTTTTATAAATTAATATTTTCAAGTTTCTATAAAAACCCAATATCAATGCAGATAAATATTTATTAATATGTGTAATAACGTTGGCTGTTAATGCATAATCAATGGTGTTAATAACACGAGAGTCGACGAATCAAAATTACGTGTCTGAATAATCAAAGCTCCGCTTGTTCCAATTAGACTAAATAGATCCATACGGAACCGTATATCATTTACATAATATATATATTATAAAATATGACATTAGTCACCACGGCTTATTTATCATTACATTTTCATATCCCCCTAACCCTCTAACCCCCATTCAAAAATATTGAAAACGACTACGAAAGGCGAATTTTCATGTTAAATAAAACCCATCTAATACGTGGTAATTAGATAGGGTGGGCATTGGATACGCACACATATACAACGATCTGGTGAAGCCGATTAAAATTACTATCATAATTTCGGCAAAAAACGTAGGTGTAATGCTAAATACCTCCAACGAATAATCCGTATTTAATCGGTATCAATGCATATTATTATCTACATCGTGTGCGCATATAGTTGACCTTGGAAGGGGCAATCGTCGTGTTGTCGTAGTGCGATGACCGAAGAAAGTCGATGTACGGATCGCGCGCGGATTAACTGTACTGACCGATTCTATCGATGAAGCGATTACGTAAAGTGAAAAAAAAATATTAATATAATAAAAAAATTGTTTCCACAACGCTTTATGATGAACAAACAATTATCGGATAGTCTTAAAATTATATTAAATTATAATAATAAAGGCTCAGAATTTATAATATAAGAATACCGAATAGTATGCGCTATCTTATGACCTTTTTTTTTTTTTTAAGTTAAAAAATATGCCCCGAGACATGAAAAATAGACACGAAAAAATGTATTTAATTTTTTCTTCTATTTGTAAATGGCTAAAACAATTTATGTTTTTTTATTAAATAATTTTTTGTTTATATAAGTGTATCAAATTCAAATACCATGCACTCCCTGACTGATCAACATACAACCAAAACTATCATATCGATCCATTTGAAATGTTAATAGAATTTACCTACTATGTAAAGGTGCACTAAGTAAGTTTTTATTAAAAATCACACGTATAGTTTAACATATTTTTTGGATCTGGACTGGCTGTATACATTTCACTTTATAGTTATTTAGGAAATTATTTTGTTTAATTTGTTGTTTTTAATAATTACCAATTAAAGACTATATGAATTAATTTAATATAAATAAATAAAAATAAATATAATTAGCACATAAGACGGTTATGTGCTAGTTTTTTTTTTTTTTTTTTTTTTTATCAAAATAGTAATTTCTCTAATATAATATAATAAAATACCTCTGGATGAGGTCGATGATTCTACAAGTAAACGAATAAACATATAAAAATAAAACGGAAAAATAAGGATTTTTTGTTCTTGTTGCAACACTTTTTTCTACAATTGTAATTAGAGTCATGTTATTTATGAAAAAGAGAAAATAATTAAAATGTAATGCATACAAGCAGAACAATAACACGAAAACTGGATAAATAATACTTTGAAATTAAAATTTTAAAAATATGCAAGAATATGCTATGTACAATTTTAAATTTTAAATCCTTGTTACGTAAAAGAAATATATATTAGCTTACTCAGTTATTTTTATTAGTATTCCATAACAATTAGCCAATACTGTGTAGAGTCTAAGCCCTGTTTATGATTAATTTGATTCTGAATAATTATGAGTGAATAACATCGTGTGCATAAGATGTACTAGGGTCGATGTACCAACAATGCAATGCAAACGTGTTAATTTTTGTTGCTAAGATTATTTTTGATTTTCTCTTGAATTACTGGAACATAACGAGTGTTATGGTATTATTGGGTTGCGATGATTATCGTAATAATAATGAAATTGTAATAATAAAAATAAAAATAATGATCATCAGGGGTGGCCGAAAAAACACGAATAATATTACTGCAATAAAATCCACGTGAAGTCGATCGAATCAAATTATTGATCTCAACGAAAATTGGCAGACAATTCGCCAAAAACGATTTGTTAATTTCGGGAATGGATTGACTATTATAGGTGATTAGGAAAAATAATAATATATAATAATAATTTCTATAATAATAATAATAATATATAATAAAAATAATAATCAGGAAAATTATACTAAAAGGAAGCGAATTGCTTCGATAAACGTACACGCATATATTTATATATAGAGAAGTAAAAATATAAAAGTATAAATTACTGTAAATCTCACAAAAATAATATGATCGTTATAAAATGAATTGCTTAAAACCAAGCGAATGGTCATGCATAATTCTAATTTCATACGTTTATATTAAGAGTTTTAAATTTATCAATGAGATAGCCACTGACGTGTAAAAACTCTCGATTTTTTTTACCAATAAATATATAATTTTGCGCTCCTGTATAAGCACCGCAGTTTGCTATACGACACTTATACCCCACTGATGATGGTTATTTTTAAACTTCAGAACCAACGTCTAATTGTTAATAATGATTCTAATGATTCACAACAAGTATATAATCGGGGATCGGACATTGATTATCTTGTAAGTAATAGTTATTTCGGTTGTTCGCATACGGTGACGATTATGAATTATGAGTTGTAACTATAATTTTTTTAACTTTTTAAACATAAGTATTATACTACAACGTGATATTTGGAATAAATTAATTATAGTGTTTAAATAAATATATATACTATTGATATTTTGTAACAACAATAGATAAATAAAAATGATGTAGACCGCAATAGTGAGACATTTTCGAAAGTTAATAACAAGCAATCGTCATTGCGACTAACGCGTAGGCTTGAATACAGTATTATCACGTCATGTGGTCTAGACAACATATAAGCATTATCTATTGATCCTTAAATATGTCGGACAGTATTATATCTCACACTTCAATCTCAGAGTGAACTCTAATAGTGAATAATAAACAAATATTAATACACTTCGCTATAAGTATATAATTTTATTGTGCGCAAGCTGTATTGTTACTATATATTATTATAAATACATTTCGAATTCTATGTAAATTGAAGTTTAAGTATGATGTAGGTAGTTTTTGGTTTTATGATATCGTATTCGTTCCGCGCAGATCACAGTTCAAGATATATCCATGTATATATTTATACCTATTTCTAAAATAAATGTAGATATACCTATTATTATTATATATCTTAAGCCGTGGTGTAGATCAAGCTTTTAAACAGTAAGTCTACAATTAATATTTCATGTATATTTTAGATAAAGACGGCTGTTTTTCAATTTTGTTAGCGGTTCTTTCCCATATGAAGGAAAACAAAAAATACTTATGTTAAATTCAGTATAACAATTATTATTATATTCATTATTATTACTTTTTTTTTTTAATAAAACAATACGTACATTTGAACAAGAAAGGGTATATGGGTTACTGAAACAATGTAATACACTATTCTTTTGGAAGTACGAGTAGTTTAGTTTATAGAAAATAATATTTATAGAGGAATAGGAATTAACGTTTGAAGATTCCGTTTGAATATTGAAATTCTCTTAGATTATTTACCGTTAAACGTTTGCACGCAACACGTAGTACCTACTAGGTATAATATGTATATATCTGTATGATATGAGCACACAAAAATACATAATAACCACGCCGCTATGCATCACATATCTTTAATTAAGAGGACGTCACACCGGCATGTGTTGTCTCCCTTTTTTTTGATTTTTAAGCGAATTATGATGTTTTTTAAAATGTTATATTTTACATACTCATAATAAATACGCTTAAAAATTAAAATATCGGAAAACCCCGACAATCAAAACACTGATAATGTTCTGATCAGTGGCGTATTTAGGAATTTTGCTAGGGGGGGGATGAAATATATAATAATACATCCTAACACCCATAAATTCGTACATAATATACATTTTTAAAATCCCCTAACTTGTTACCAATTGAGGTTAGTGTGGATCAAGGCAAAATAAGAATTAATCTTTAAAATTACCTCATCATTTTCCAAACAAATTTTTTTATTTGTACTAAAATAAGAAAATAAAGTTTTTTTTTGTTTTTGAGTATTACTCATATTGTCTTAAAACTTCACAGTTACAACTTACAAGACGCAAAAAATAAAGTCGAACAATAGTCAATTCGGCAGTAAGTCAGTACTCGGAATGGCGCGTTGTCGCTATCCGTCAACGTCCAACGACCGTACATATCTACTTTTAACGAATCACGATATCATACGATAAAATATATATATATATAGCTATACATTAGCCATAAATCTACTAGTAACAAATTTTCTAAAAATAAACCCGCCCGGCCGCCCTATGGTTAATCCACGGTCTTCATGGTCATTTTGTTTTGTTTACCGATTGCTTATCGGGTTTATTATAAACACTCTTGCATGAAAAATAATTCGCAGAAACGTACAAAATACAGTACACCATAATATAGGTATAGTTTTTGTTGCCTGATAGTCGTACATGCCGCCAACGATAAACGATTAGTGGCGATTAGTATATCAGACTATCAGAGCGGTACAATTACCACGACTAGAACATTTAGAAAACAGAAAACATACATGCTTGAAAGTAATATCATATTAAGAATATTAGAGAAAATGAGACAACTTATAGCTACCTAGGAAAAAAAAAAAGGTCAAGGGGGGGGATCTATCCCCCATATCCCCCCCCCGTAAATACGCCACTGGTTCTGATAGTTTGATTATAGGTTAGTTTACTCTAATATTAAAGCTAACTTCACTGCACATGAATCACTGAACGCAAATGCTATGTTGTACTTATGTCAGACGGAGATAACACATGCGTGTGTGACGTCCTCTTAAAGGTGTTTATAAAAAAAAACCCCGATGTTCGTGAACACACAATTTTTCCACGTGTATGTGTGAAGTCCAAAACCGCAACATGATCACTTCGACTATTAAATTACCACAGTCTTCTCATCGTAGTCCGATATCCCGTTTTTTCCACACTGCATTTTCACAATTATAATATCACAACTTTGCAAGTAAAAAAAAAAAAAAAAAAATCAAAACAAATTATTATTATTAGATACCGTAGTGTAACTGTTATGACTACTACGTGTTTAATACGACGCCAATTTTTTATTATATTCTAGACAGTAACACAATATTATTAAGGAATCTCACAATACCTATCATACCTATGTTAAGTTTTAACAATAATTTTTGAGGCATCGGAAAACAGAATTTAAAAATCTAATAAAAAGAGTCAAACGTAATATTGGACATTATATTAAAAGATTATGAAACCATTAAAAATATTGAAAGAACTTTCAACCGAGGTAATGAACATCATAAATAATAAATAAATGAACGACCCGTTCGAGCTTGCTGTCAATTTAACGTATAAATAAGCGTTACATAATAAAAGAAAAATAAACATGCAGACAATATATACATACACGGTAAACTGTCTTTACTATGTACTTTCGGGGGAAAAATATTTATACGTGTACGACTGCGGTGCTCGTTCATACGTAATAGTACTTAATATATAGTATATAATATACATAATAATAGTACGAAATACGATCGATGTATATAAGACAAATGAAATAGGATTCAAACGTTTATATAATCCGTCCCCAATACTTATATATATGTTTACTAAAAACATTTAAACTGTATTTTCTTCCAGATAAAGAGTCATGGTTGTACCGAGTGTTCTGTTCGGGAGGAGTGAACCCCAAGGATCCCGGAAACCCTCGCGACAACCCGGACAATGCGATCATGGTTTGGTGCAGGAACAGCTTGGGTTGGGCTCTGAACCAGTGGTACATAAAGATCATGGTGCTATTAGTATTTGCCGGATATCTGGCTGGCGCGATGTACGGTACGACGACCATCCAAGAAGGATTGCAGAGAAGAAAACTGTCCAAACCCGACTCGTATTCCATTGAATTCTACGACCGAGACGATTTTTACTTCAGAGAATTCCCTTACAGAATACAGGTAATATACGTATTAAATTTGTATGTAAGACACTTTCACTTAAATTACTAACAATGATCATGTAATACATGGCTGGATGTAATCCAACCTTATATGTAATGAACTAATTCAAGGCTTCGATCGATGTAGAATACAAGACGGATGATAAACAGTAACAATAATTATAAAGTCTGTTATTATCTATATCAACTTATTTAGAACAATTTAATGTTATCCAAAAATCAAAGTAGTATTGGTATTAAGTATAAGTGTTCGGATTAAAAATCCAAACTTTTAAGTTCTATAATTTAATTTTCTAACTTACAAGTTTGCAGGATTACTAGATACCATACGTGCGCCCGCAATGTGAATATAATATTCATGTAAATATTGAATTTATTATTGTGGCCAAATCGTGAATAAAATAACAGTATTAATGATCTAGCGATTTAGATAGAAATTATAAAATTATAAAAATTAATTTTCTTACAATTTATAATTTATGTTTTTCAAAAATAATTAGGTAATATACAAAACGATGTATAATGTATAATCAACGAAAACGGTATTCTAGCGCAGATTTAGGGTTTTTATGGTTTTATTTTATGTTAATAAAATGTAAATAAATATATTTTAATAATTATGTCAATTGTTTACGCCTATATTTTTTAATGAATATATTCAAATTTTAAATTTACATCTAATCACCTATTTATATGTATACTATAAAAAATGTGATAAAGTTATATGAAGTTCATCAATAATGAAAACTAACAAAACTCACACTAAATAATACAAATTATAACGCTATTGCATACAGGTGGTAATATTACAATTTAAAATTTTTGTTGTTTTAATATAAATCGTCGAACTTAAAAATGCTTATGTACTGTTTGTATGAAGGTAATAATTAGCGGGGAGTTAGATTATTGGAATGTGAATGTTCAGGATCAAATAGAAAATCTGACTAAAACGTTTGAAAGCTCGCCGTTCATATCCACTCCGTTGTACACGGAGTCTTGGGTAAGGTCATTTGTGAACTACGTGAATCGCAACCAAGAAGAACTCAACGTGACCATAGATACCAGAGAATCTTTTCTACAAACACTGAACGACGTAAGATCGAAAACATCACAACCAACTGTCGCGCATTAAAGAAGTTTTTTTTTTGTTTTCCGGTTTCTTATAGTTGTGGTTGTTCAAACCGAATCCGTTCTCGTTGGACGTCAAGTTTAACGACGATGGGACCAAAATCATAGCTTCCCGTTTCATGATACAGGCAGTGAACATCAGCGACGGAAATATGGAAAAAGACATGGTCAGAGAACTACGAAAAATTGCTCACGACTCACCATTGAACGTTAGCGTTTTCCACCCCTATTTCGTATTTTTCGATCAGGTAACAATAATTCAAATTTGACAGATTTATATAATTTTTTGTACTTCTTAAATATTATTCAGATTCCTTTATTTTAGTTCCTCTGTGCCTTTATAATCTTTGGGGAAATTTCGATCTTTTTCAATAGTTTTATTAAAATCATTAGCGAAATAAAAAAAAAAAATCTCAAACGAAACGAAATGTTCTTTTGGGATATTATATTATTTCATGGAGATTATTTGAAACTTCTTTTTATAAAAGTTACTTCACTTAAAATGTTGTAATATTGATACTGGTTTAGGTTGTTTAGTGATTTCTACGGTAACCTAAGACTTCGCTTCGCGAGATCATTTCTCATTATAAAATGTTATTGTTCCGCTATGTATTTTATTAAAGGAAAAAAGTTATCCACGAAACGGAACAAATAGCTCCCCGAGGGTGATAAATCATCCCAATAGCACATTTCGTTCGTTAAATATCCCAACATCTTGAACATAATAATAATATACCACTAAGTTAACGATGAGTTTCGGTTCTCGTATAGTTAAGGGGATTGCATACCGTCCATTTCTAAGGAGTTTAATATAGGTAATAATATTAGTGCGTGCGTGCGAGCTGTGCATGTGTGTATGTAGTAAATGATCATTAGTGTTAGTGATGGTGTAGTGGGGTCTGGCGGGGTCCAGCGTTAACGACTACAAATTCCGAGTACTCAAACAAAAAGAATAATTTCAGATTACGGCTCGACCGATTTTAATGACTTTTTTTGTATTTTTGGTAGGTATGAGAATATATACTTTTCACCTATTTACCCCCACCGACATTTTTAATCATAATTTTATTAAAATCCAGGCTATATTGATTTTAAAACAACCAATGACATAATGAGTAGCAGACAGACACCCTTCTAAAAATGTTGACTTCTAATATAAGCTTCAAATATGCTTCAATTACATCGGTTTATGTGGAACGATCATTTAGCCGTTTTAAAAATATTTTGAGACTTAATAGGCGACATTTAACATTCGATAATTTAATTAAATAATTTTTTTTTTTTAAAAAGAATATGACTTTGTTGAGAAATTACAATCTATACAAAGGTGTACAATGGGTAATATTTGTGATGCGTGAAAAACTATGAACTAAGATAACATGGTAGGAAATCTCACAATAGAGACACCTAGTGGCTTTACATTAACAATTAAAATTTACAATTATTTGTTTTTACAATTTATACAATTTTTAGGTCTCGGCATCAGTTCCGCTTGAGTCTTCTTGTTGGATTTCCAGGTAGTGTGTGTATGGCGAGGTCCCTGATGAGCAGGTTGGGGTTGGATTGAAGCTTAGCATGGAAGCGTTTGTAGTATATAGTAGCAGTTTCGTTGACAGAACAGATTCTTAGGTCAGAGTTTAATGCATTGTTGGAGACATACCAGGGTGCTCCAGTAATTAGACGACAACAGATATTCTGGAAGGCTTAGATAGTTCTCTTGTTTGATTTTTTCGCGGAGTCCCAAATTACTACCCCATACACCCAGAGTGGTTGTAGAAGAGTTTTATATAATATAAGTTTGAAGTGCAATGCAAGATCTGAGCGGAGGAGTGGCCTTAGATAGTGAAGTCTTGAGTTAAGCTTTTTGCGTTTGTCTTTGAGGTGAGATTACCATGTTAGACGTCTGTCGAATATTAAGCCAGGTATTTCACTTCGTTGGAGTGAGGGATAACGGTGTTATTTATTATTATGGGAGGGCAGTTATGGGGCCTAAGTGCACATGTGACGAAGGAAGACTTTGATTCGTTGATTTTAATTTTCCACTTTGAGAACCATTGAGAAAGTGTGTCAATGTGTGATTGTAATTGAAGGCTTGCAGTGATATGATCAGCAGCTGTGGATAAAAGTGCAGTATCGTCTGCGTAAATTCCAATGGTTGTTTCAACAGAGGTAGGTAGATCAGACGTGTAAATAATGTACAGAAAAGGTGCTAAGTCGCTGCCTTGCGAGACCCCTGCAGCAATGGGGAATTGTTTAGAATGTTGTAATTTGTAGCAAACCTTGAATGTGCGGTTTTCCAAGTATGATTTTAAAAGGAAATAATAAGGGGCTGGAAATAAAGTTTTTAATTTGAAGAGTAGTCCTTCATGCCAAACGGTATCGAAAGCTTTGGCTACATCTAAAAATACTCCAACACAGTATTTTTTTGTTTCCAAAGCAGTTGAGATTGTGTCGGCGACTCGATGAAGCTGGTGGGTTGTGGAATGATTTGTGCGAAAACCAAATTGGAAGTTGGGCAAGTTTTGGTTTTCATTGGTTATGAATGTGAGACGCTTTAGTAATATTTTTTCCAGGATTTTACCGAGAACCGGTAGAAGACTAATGGATCGGTATGAGGATGGGTTTTCCGGTGGTTTGCCAGGTTTAAGTATTGTTACAATAACCGAGGATTTCCAAGTGGTTGGAAAATAGGAAAGTCGAAGGGTATTGTTATATATATATGAGAAAGATGAATTATTGTTCTAGCCGGTAGGTTTTTGACTACTTTGTTGGTTATAAGATCGTGGCCAGGAGATTTCTTGTTGGCCATTTTTTTTATTATCCCTCTTATTTCAGCTAGTGACGTAGGTTTAGCAGGTAGGGCCATAGGTAGTGGGGAAAGGAGTGACTCTGCGACCATTTCAAGATGTAGAGGTGATGGTGAAATTGAGTGTAGTATGAATACTGTTGATAGATCGTTCGCTAGTGTGTCAGCTTTTTCACTGTCGGTAACTGCTTAAGTGTTATTTGGTCGTTGAAGAGGCGGTGTAATTTCCTTTAATCGAAGAATTTATTTTGTTTTGCGCCAAAGTGAGCCATTTTTAAGTGAGAGATTTTGTAGGTAATTTTTGTAGGAGTCGTTTTTGTGTATTTTTAGAAGAGATTTAAGTTTATTTGAAAACATATTGTACCTTGACTTGTCGTCAGGGTAGCGAGTTCGTTGCCAAATCGATCTTGCTCTACGCTTGTCAGCTAGAAGTTTCCTGAGCTTTGGTGTTAGATTGATGATGTATTGTTGCTTGGTCTCATGGTTGATGAGTCTTTAGCTGCAGCTTAAATATCATTGGTTAGTTTATTTATTGCACTATCAATGTTAGAAGGGGATTTTAACTTGATATTAAGTATTGTTTTTTTTGGAAAGTATGTCTCTGAATTTATTCCAGTTTGTAAAACCAGAAGTGATAGTTGGTCGATTGGGTTTCATTAGAGGTTGTGCTTCAATATATAGTAGAACAGGAGTATGATCTGAAGCTGGGTCATTAAGATTTGTGGCGACTGCGGTGAAGCGATTGGGTAAGTTGGTAATGAAGAAGTCTAACGAATCTAGGTGACGGTTGAGATGCGACGGCCAATAAGTCGGAGAAGGGCCTGATAAAAATTTGAGGTGCTTTTGTGTTATGAGGTTATGTAACGCACGACCCCTATTGTTAGTGAAATGGCTCCAGGTTTGATGTTTGGCATTGAAGTCCGCGCCTATAATATAGCTATGGCTTAGAGATTGGAAAAAAGTGATAAGTTCCGGTGTAGGGAATGAAATTCCAGGAGAGAAATAACAAGAGGCTATGGAGATAGGAACCGAGTTTATCTTCAACGTTGTGCAAGCTGATTGAATATTGACGCTCCTAAGTGGCGGAAGAGGTGAGTATTCAATTTGATTGGAGATTATTAGAGCGGCTCCACCATGTGCTGTTCCGTCGGGGTGATCTGCTCTTATTATTTCATATCCGGAAATTTTTAGTGTAGAAGATTTAACGAGGTGAGTTTCGGAAATAAGCGCAATTTCAATTTTTTTTCTCATTGAGAACGATTTGGAGTTCATTTAGGTGTTGAAGAATACCGTTGGCGTTCCATAAAAATATGGTGAGTGGTTTTAAAATATTAGTTGCCATTTTTAATAAGTTTATCAATGACAGTAGTGAGCAGTGATACGAGCGGATTTATTAATGTTTTAAGATCATTTATCTATCAATGAAGACAGTTGGATTGTGAGGTCTAGATTCTGATTTGGGTTATTGGTTTGAGAGTGAGAATTTGATTCACTATTAAGAGGAGGGAAATTCCGTGAGTCCGTTGGAGGAGCGTTATTAGAGTTAAAAACATTTAGGGTTTGGTGTTTTTGGTTTTTATTATTCCACGTATTGTTTTTAGATCGAACTAGTTTTTTTTAGGTCAGTATGTGTTTTACAACCTTTATAGTTGGCTGCCGTTACATAGAGCATAATTAGCAGGGGAACTGCGATCCTTAGTATAATGCATTGATTCATGGCCTAAACCACATCTAACACAGCGAGGAGTGTGATAACAGTACCTGCGAGTGTGTCCATAAGCCTGACAGCGGTGGCATTGAGCGATATCTCTTTTAGGATGGGCAGGTTTAATTTTAACTTTTGTGTAGCACAGCGATGTAATTTTGAAGATATCAGCATTGGTTGGACCGGGTTCCAAGTTAATAAAGAAAATTGGAAGGGGAGTTTTTGTTAATTTATGAGTGACAGGCATTATATTTCTGATTTTAAATCCGCTGTTTATGAGTTCATTTTTGATAAAAGACAAATTGGTGGTAGGATGTAGATTTCTAATAACTACACGAAATGTTTTTAATTCTTTTGACTGATACGAATGAAATGAAACATTGTTTTCTTTAAGATAATTAATCACTGATCTATACGACTCAGCGCTGTATGTTTGAAGTTTAAGTTTGTTAGTAGAACTTTTGCAATCAAATTCCGTGGAATCAGTTAATTCTTTAATTTTATTACAAAAATTATTGAAATTAAACATTGCTTGTATGAAGATTGGGGGTGGCTTAGGTGTTGGGTTTGTATTCGGAATGTTTTCATTTGTATCTTCCATCGGCTCCGCTTCGTCGTTTGGTGCGATTAGAGAGTAACGGTTCGGAGAAATAAAAATGTTATTATCGGTTTTCTTTGGGGGAGGTGATGTTGCATTAGGAGATCTTAAGTGTTTATTGTTTGAATGGACAGTTTCCCAGATATCAAAATTAGAATTGGTTGGCAAAGGATTGCATGAAGAATTATCATTTTTCTTTTTTTTTATAATTAAAGGAGAAATTGTTTTGTTAGGTAATGGTATCGACGCGATTATTTCTGTAGCAGTATGTAAACTGCGATAGTGGATGGTCTTGGGGCCTCTGCCGGCAAAGCGGCAATGTTAGTGGACTTTGTACGATAAGATAATGATATTATTGTACATACCGAATTGCGGCGGCGCTGCGTAAATTGACGTTTGCTAACGAGAGCTATAAAAACGGTGCGCGTAAATGACGTGTGGTATCCACGACGTCCCAACACGAACTGAATTTAATAATTATAATTTTTTTTTTTTTATTACATTTCTTCCTCACATATTTGGTTATTTTTAGCACATATTTTATAAATTATACTAATATATATATATATATATATATATATGTACATATTTCTCTTTTTTTGTTACATATAAATCTGTTCCCTACTTATTAGTAATTTTTGGGTAAATTATAATTTTCGAAACTTTTTAATAACATTTTTGATAATAATAGTACTTTCTAACTTCGATTTTTTTTCAATTGTTTACCTGTTTTAATTATTAAAATATATTTTTATTTCTTGGTTCTCGTACTAAAAATTGTTAGATAGTTTTGTGTCTGTTGGCCTTACTTCGATGAAAAATCTCAAAAATTTATAGGCATACATTTTTTATAACCATTTTAATATTTAATTGTTAAAAAAATTCTAATTTAATCACGAAAATGTTAACATTTAATGGCTAATCATCATTGTAATAATTATTGTTCTTACTTTGTAGCTGAATCGTTTTCCGAACTCGTACGTAGACTAAATAGTTCAGTATCTACTACATTATTTAAAGTTCCTGGTGATAGTGGATCAAAATCCATAGACATAATTTCGTCATTTATCCTAATAAATACATAAAAATACATTCATTTGAGTATTTTACGATTGAAATTAATTTTTTATTGAAAAATCTAAAAAAAAAAAAAATGTTAGTACGAACATTGTAGTATTAGTCTGATCTACATGGTCATTTATATTCGGATGATACTGCGATGTGGAAGGACCAGCATTTTCCCGTACAGCCTCAAATAAAAGCATAGGAAAATATAAAAAATAAAAAATATGTATAGCTATTTTAACTTACTGTGTTGTGTATGCATATTAAATGCCATTTATTGATTGACTCAATATTGCCTTTGTTTTTTTCTTAATTTAGACAATCTATATTTTTTTTTTGCGCACGAGCTGATCGTTTTTTTAGTGAAAATGAATTAAAAAATTAAGTTTTAAATATTAGTAAACTTAAACCTTAGCTCAAAGCTCACTGAACAGAAAAATAACCATACATTATTAATTTGCAAACCGTTCATGATAAAGATAGCTATTATTATACCAGTTCTTATTTATCTTGTGGGGACTTTCTTTTATTTTTTTTAGAGACTGAATCGCTACATTGTAAATTAAATATACAATATTATAAATCTTCAAAATATCTAGTTGACTTATAAAATAAAAATAATAGATATCTGTAACATAACTAATTTATTATTATGTTACGTACTTTAGTAGTATAATAGATATTATAAATAATAATTAGGCACCAGTGTACTTTACATACATGTACCTTCTACAAAAAGCCACAATTACCGATAACGATGCATTGTAATCGTACCGGGGTAGTTTCTATCAAGGAGGGGGAAGCTCGCTCACGCACGTGCACGAGAATGTCACCAATCTGTAATCGGGCGCGGCACCGTTCACGAACGACGATTATTTTTTGGTAAAAAGCATGTACTTTTTGTCCATCATACCGATTAAACTACTAATGCGATAAGAAATCTGAAAGCAGATTTGAATTGGCTATGAAGTTTTCTTGAGATCGGTCATCCCACTTTTTGGATTTTTTTTATATATATATTATATTATATTATATTATATATATATAATATATTCATTGTTTAATAATTCTAAAATGTTTAGTTTTAAAATCATACTTAATTGAAATATAAAAGTCAAAATTTAAAAAAATGCTCTGACCGATCTCAAGTAAACTTCATAACGAATTTAATTAAATATTTTTTCAGATTTTTTATCGCACAAGTAGTTTTGTCGATAGAATGGACAAAAGTTAGGCATGTTTTCGTCAAAATAACGAATGGTATCGAATCCCCTTAACATAGGCTTCTACTTGTTGACTGTGATCAGTACCATCGCAACCTTTTGCATGTGGCAAGAGCAGTAAAATTTCCTTACACCAAAATACATCTAACTATTCTAACTTGACCAAATGTTGAGCTCCCAAATGTATATTAAGTGCGAGGCCCTAGGCAATCATTGTTACCATATAAAGATGTGTTTGTTTTTGTTTTACCATGTTCTCGTACTCGCAGTTTGAACTCGTTCGACCCACGTCCATCCAATCGATGCTGGTAGGCGGCGCGACGATGATGCTGATCTCGTTCCTGTTCATACCGAACGTGCTGTGCTCGCTGTGGGTCGCGTTCTCCATAGTGTCCATCGAACTGGGTGTAGTCGGCTACATGGCTCTGTGGAGCGTGAACTTGGACTCGATATCCATGGTGAATCTGATCATGTGCATCGGGTTCTCCGTGGACTTCACCGCGCACATATGCTACGCGTACATGTCGTCGAAGGCGGACAGCCCGGAGGGACGAGTGCGCGAGAGCCTGTACGCGCTCGGGCTGCCCATCATCCAGGGCGCGATCAGCACAGTGCTAGGAGTCTCCGCGCTCATCCTGGCCGGCAGCTACATATTCATGGTGTTCTTCAAAATGATATTCTTGGTGATCGTGTTCGGCGCGCTGCACGGCATGTTCTTGCTGCCAGTGCTGCTGTCGCTGTTCGGGCCGGGCGCGTGCTCATCGAAGCGGCGCCGTCCATCCGCCGACAAGTCGTTACCTCACCCGTACAGTATACCGCACCCATCGCTGCTGCTGCATCACCACCAACAACAGCGCGGTGCCGTAGCACAACCGGACTATGGTAAACCGTACCACGGCGTGCCCAAGAAGTTCACCAACAAAGCCAGCTCCAAGTCGGACAAGGACATGGGTCTGGGCACGTCCGAGGAGTCCAGCGAGAGCAGCTCATCTAAGTCGCAACAGCGCAGGAGGAAAGAGGCAGCCGAGGACGAGGCGCAACGGAGGAAGTACATGAATGGCTGGAGGAAGGCCACGGGCCATTCGATGCCGCAGTCGCCGCACGGCAGTGGTTACCCTAACAACGGTTATTTCAGCGACGAAGATAGGACTGCCACAGCGGTGCGTCGCGTACAAGTGCCCGACAAGTACGGTCGGCCGACCAGGCCACACTATCAGCAAGGGCTGCACCAACAGTGGCCGTACAGAAACGATGGACGGTACCATTGAGAACCTGTAAACGTATACCCGTATGGCATATGTGGTTTTACAAACGTGTTTAGCACTTCCTAAGAAGACAACACGTTGATACGAAAGTACGAACACGAATTTCATAACATTTGTGTAAATATTACGTTGCCAGTATTTTCATTTGTCCACGAGAGAGAAATGATATTATTATATTCTACAGGTTAGCCTAAGAGTATATCTACCTAAAAGTGATGACGTCTTTAAAAACTAGCATAACTCTATAACTGTTGTTATTATTTAATTGCTCAAATGTAAAATGTTTAAAATCATTGAAAATTATCGAGTTGATACTGAATGGTAGAATTAGTATTGCTATGAATATAATTAATTGTTAAAACTAATTTTAAGCATATGTATATCGACGTTACCTACATTTAATTTAAGTTGATAATATTTTTATTGTTACACTAATTTTATAAACATAGGTTTGTATAATTTAACGCTTGTAAAAACAAGCAAAATAAACCCATGTTAGCTGAATTCAATTTTTTTTTTTTATTAGAACTTTTAATAAAAGCTATTAAAGTTCAACAGTTAAAATAATGTTGAATTTCACAATTAATATATAAAAACATAACAAAATAAGAAAAATAAACACAATTATTGTAATGAAAAAAAAATATCGAGGATATTTAATGTCTTATATAATATATAAGCCATTAACTATATATATTAACTTTATATTATAACGTTAATCATATGCTGCATGATAAAATATTGAAGAAAGAAAAAAAAATGAGATGAATATAATGTAAATGTATAATAATAAAATTGCACGAAATAGAGTACATGTATACTGGATAGCCAATTAATATTAAATGTTATTTATGATAATGATTTATAAACATAATAAAATTAAAAATTTAATATAATTTACGGTGTGTTAAATTTTTGTAAAACTACTGTCAGAAGAGTGAAGAGGGGATTAATTAGTGAAGTGTAAAGATAACTCGGACAGAAATATAGATAATGATGAAAGTTTGTTGATAAAATTTCCACTAGTATTATTATTTTGCAAATTTATATTCTCGAGTTTAGAAACGCTGGTTTTGATGACGGTTTAACACCAACTTGAAGGCAAACAACTTTTGAAATTGGCCGTATGCTCCTCTGCACAGAAAACAAATTTAGCAGGGCTATTTCGGTCTTTTGTGCATTCCTCGGAAGTAGTCTTCGCCACATTTAACGCATCTTGGATGATGGCGGAAATGATTCCTTATGTAACCCTATACTTGACATTAATGACATATTGGAGGGTCTCGACAGATTTGACGAGGTTTCTCGATGGTGACAACGGTGTTTATTTAATATAGACGTAACTTTGTATACCTTGTAATATTGTTAAACTTGGGGATTAGAAAAACATTGGGAAAGCACATTTGATTTTGTTTTTCATATTCACTACTTGTTTTGCAAAATGTCCTTATTCTAATAAAGTAGCAGAAATATCCGTGCACAGAGTAGAATGACCAAAATTTTTAATTACAATTCTGTTTGGACGAAGATGACGAGGAAGGAATTTGTGGAAACTAATGTCGGTTTTCATTAAATGATTTATTATTGTATTATAACTGATACGATTTCTGGAATGTAAAATAAGATGAAACGTAATTGACTTACAAGGCGTTTGCATAGGTAATCCTTATGCAAAAAAATTGTTGAATTCTTAGTATAAATAAAGGCTACAACATCGTGTTCAATTTCAGTCGAATTATTACGGTTATCCGAGTTTTTTAGGTTGGGCGAGAACGAAGAATCAGATTATTTTAATTGATATAAATATTATTAACACAGTCCGGGTATTTATTGATCAAACCTCGTACGGTATATAGGTAATGTACCCAATGAGAACACTACTGGTAAAAATAAATTATTTGCTGAAATTTCAAATATTTAGATTATTAAAAAAATTATTATTAAAATTAACCAAGATATTAATTAATCCTAAACAAGTTTAAGAGTTCTTCTATAACTGTTTAAAATATAAATTATATCCATAGATCTTAAGTTGAAAATAAAAAACTCTTATTTCATATTATATACATAATGCAATTTATTAAAAAAATAAAGTACAGTCTCATAAATTAGTAACTACTTTAAAAAAAATATAAAATACTTATGTATTTTATTAAATATATAAAATCAGATTAATTTTAATTTTCATCAGGTCCACTTGGATTTGGAGACGTCGGCGAATAATTTGGTGACGACGGAGAATAATTTGGGCTTCCAACACCAGGAGAATAAGTTGGTGAAGTTGGAGAATACCTATAATAATATTGTTTTTAAATATCATAAAAAAAATTAAAAAAAGAATGTATCATACCTGGGACTTGCTAATGAAAAGTTAGTAGGTGAATAAACCGGTGAACTAGGGCTATAAGATTGGTTGTATTGCGTATTTCCAGCATTTGGTGTATGTTGCACAGAAGATGGAGAATATGAAGCATTTGATGGTGAATACATTGGACTGGTTGGGGAATATGTTGGGCTGACCGCTAAAGAGGGTGAAGTAGGCGAGTATTTGTAATTACTGACACCTGATGTAGCACTAGGTGTATATGATGGTGATGATGCAGTATATTGTGGAGAACTCGGACTATAAGATGGTGAAGTTGGACTATAAGATGGTGAAGTAGGGCTATACCTAAATTAATTAATAAAATGTCTATTTAATTAATTTAATACATTAAATAATTAATTTTTATTTTAAATAAGTATCAATTGTAAGTACTAATTATTATAATATTATTACAGTCTAGTGGTTCCCATTTGTGAACTTAAAAATTACTCATGAGAACATTTTCAATAAACCTCAAAAATTGTTTTAATAGCAAATTTACAAAAACTTTCATCTAAATATATCCAATTATAACAATATCTATCATGTTTAATATTCATTTTAGATGGCAACTATTATAATAAAAAACAGTAAAAAAAAAAAACTAAATTCAGACTAATTCCAATAGTCAAATTCCTTAATCTTGAATAAAATGTATAAGGATATCAAAACAGTTGCAAGAAATAATTTAAAATAAAAGAGGATTCAAATATACATCAACACATTTTTGACCCTCCTCCCTCCATGTCAGCAAACATTAGAAAGAGAATATCTTTAGGCTTCCTTTAAAATTTATTCTTATTAATAAAATGTATTTTTTCATTTATAAAAATAAAGATAATAATAAAAATAAAAAGATGGCACGTCTTCGATGATGTCAGTAACTTATCGACTTTTGTTTTTTTCTAGCGTTAATTTGAATTTGGATAGATATGATTTTAACATCAGATTTGAAATTTAGCCCCCCTTCCCCGTGTTAGGCAGTCAAATTTTTCAAATCTCTCTTCCCCCGGCCTAATATTTGAATGCTTCCTAAGCACAGCTCCTAAATCAAGAATAATAAATTATATTTATAATTATTATCATATAAATACATTTTTATATTTACAATATAATACTATCATACATTATTTAAGAATATAAACCATAAAAATAATAAAATTAAACTAAAAACAAGATGAAGAATATCAACTTAAGATATTTTGGTTTCCACCTATGTAGGTAGCAACAATTTAAAAATTAATCATATCTCAGAAAGTTTGGGAACCTCTGTTTTATATAATTTAAAAATAATACTTACGATGGAGACGTTGGGCTGTACGATGGAGAAGTTGGACTATATGAAGGAGATGTAGGGCTATATGAAGGACTGGTTGGGCTGTATCTGTAATTTAAAAAATAAAATTTTTAAGCTACTACATTCTATTATATTGAAAATTGTAAAATCAATGTATAATTGAATATACTGTTATAATGTTAAGTCATACATTAGTTTTAGTAATATGAATATAGTTTAAATAAACTTACGAAGGAGATGTAGGGCTATATGATGGCGATGTTGGACTATACGATGGAGAAGTTGGACTATAAGAAGGTGATGTAGGACTGTATGATGGAGATGTTGGGCTATACCTAAAAATAAAGTTGAAAATTAATAATCAAAAATTGTATTAATAAATATGAAATACATACGAAGGACTTGTTGGTGAATACGAAGTATGAGAGTACGAAGGACTAGTTGGTGAATATGATGGACTAGTTGGTGAATAGTTGAAGTTAGGAGACATAGAAGAGTATTTTGGAGTATTTTGTTGCGTAGCTGAGTATTGTGGACTTGTTGGTGAATAATTAGTGGGAGTCATAGATGGAGACATAGAACCAAACTGTGGACTAGATGGATAATTGTAGCTTGGTGACATAGAACTAGGACTAGGCACATAAGGACTAGTTGCCATGCCTGGCGATCCAGGACTGCCTGGAGTTCCTCCACTCGTCATCCAGAATGGAGATGTTCCACTAGCTTCACTTGATCCAGCAGGAGAAAATCCAGGACCACCAGGAGTCATGCCAGCGTCCACATCTATATAAAATAATAAACAATAGAAAATATTAAAAATACACTGGATAAAATTTTAAAGATTTTACTTGATTGCCAGCTACTATTTTGATAAACTGGGGTAGATGTTTGATCCCATGGAGTCATAGCAGGTGACATTGATGGTGTGCCAGCTGCCATGAACATACCACCACCACCTACACCCATGTAACCATTATCCATTGGTATTTCTATACCATCCTTAGCCTTTTCAGCATCCAAAAGTAAATCAAAACAACCTAATAAAACACATAGTTGTAATATTTCTAATTATTAAACAAAAATTAGTGTAAAATTTACCTGTTCCCATTCTAGGTAACTGTCCCATAATTATGTTTTCTGATACACCTCTCATTGGATCAACTTCCGCATGTGAAGCAGCATCTAATAATACATCAACTGTTTCTTCAAATGAACATCTAAACACATACACATTTAATAATTTATAATCTAGATGATTTAGAATATCTACACAATATAGATTATTTGTCAAATTTACCTCATTAATGCTCCAGTATCTTGTCTGTTGATACCATGTCGAGTAATAGCCATCAAATGACCTTTAGCAGTCATTACATCACACAACAATGCCAAATGCCGATAGTTTACATATAAACCATAAAACTGCAACACAGTATTCATTTCTTTTTCAACTGACTTACGAACAGCTTCAATACCCAAAACCTGAAATCCAAATATATACTTCACAAAATGTTCGATTTATAAGTAATTTTAATTACAAGCTTTACCGAAAATATTTCACAAATGTCATTTGAAAATGTTCTCACAGGATCAACATCTCTTTCACTCAACACTTTCATTAGACTTGTACCATCAGTTTCTAATAACCAATCAGCAATTGCTTTAAATTCCCCAACATCAGTGATTATTATTCTTTTTTTGGAATCAGTTTGAGGCAAATGCATGTAAACTTTAGCTATAGCTTCTATTCCCTATAAATAAGAAAAATATTAAGAAGTAAATTAATCAAATAAAAAAAGTAAAAAATAATAAAATTGAGTCAGTTTTTCACTCACTTGTAGTGTCATATCAGACAACATGTTAGCTTCAATACATCTAAGAAACATGTCATCTTCCATTTTATCAACAGTGTCTTCATCATCACCGCCATTCATTTTTCCATCTTCACCATTCATTATACGAATACGTAAAATTAATTTATCAGCATTATCATCATTAAATATGCAATTGAGATCATCACCAAAACCAGCATTGATCTTTTCAGATATTGCTTCCATAGTCAATTTTTTATCTAATATAAAACATATTTAAAAATACAAATTATATTTAATACAATTTAAAATAATTATATGAATACTTAATTACCAGTCATTCTTTTTCTATCCAACTCAATTCGCAACAACCATGGTGAAATTCTTGAAGGATCAAAGTCAGGCATTTCATAATATACATTTACAAACTCTTGATCTTCTCTAATAACTGTATTTTGAGGATCAGGATCATAATAAATAGCAGTGTTAGCGGTAACTTTTCTCAATGTTGTGTGTTCGAGTCGACAAAGTACATTTTTAGCTTTTTCTGCATCTCTAGCAGCTGTTCCAGTCAAAAATACAGTCAGTGAAGGTGCTTTTGGATTTTTACTTATATTGATGATTTCCTAAGTATTAAGGTATAATATAATTTAATATTTATAATTAACAAAAAATATCTTAAACAAAGAAAAGTAAAATTTACCTTTAATCTAGGCACTCCAAGAGTTACATTCTTTGAAGATACACCAGCAAAATGGAAAGTATTCAATGTCATTTGAGTAGCAGGTTCTCCCAAACTTTGAGCAGCCAATGCTCCAACCATCTCACCAGGTTGTGCCTGGAAAAAAAAACCAGAAAAAATTTTAAAATAGTACTAGGATTATCAGCAAAAATAAATTTACCTGGGCTTGTTTAAATCTATTTTCAATTTCACCAATTAACCATTCAAATGCTTCAGAAGATAAACGAAATCTTTCAGATACAAGCTTAGTGCACAGAGTAGATCGTACCAAACATTGAAATAATAATGTAGCATCTTGATTGGCTTTCTTGCTTAACTGGTCTTCTCCTGCTACAATAATACACTTTCCCAACAGATCTCGAACTCCTTTAATAGGTAATAAACAATTAAGAATTTAAAATACAATACATAAATATATTATGTTATACAGCATACCTCGTAGAACTTTTATAGGATTCAAATCTGTTTGTCCTCGTTTGTTTATGTGAAAAATTTTTTGTACATTCCAAATCATACGTTTTAAATTACAAGGTAACACCACTTTGCTTTCACCAGAAGGAAATATTTCTCTTAAAGTATCTCTATCATTATTTAATTGTTCCCATTCCTTTTCCAATTCAGCAACAGTATCATTACTGCCCATTAAGTCTTTTAAAACATCCTCAGTAAATATTTTTCTCATTTGTCTTTCATTTGAAACATCAAATTTAAATTCATCCTCAAATTTCTTGTGCGATGGTTCTATAGTAGCAATATTTTGGAATTCTACTGTCTCTCCACATAAACCATCTTCTCCATAACGTAACTGAATCAATTGACCAACAGAGTTACGGACAGTCCCATCATAGTGAACCATAACAGATTCCATAGCTTTGATTAAACGTCTTTGAATATAACCTAGCAAAATACATTAATATTTAATAACTAATATAATTAAAATATATCAATTTTAACTCACCAGTTTCAGCAGTTTTTACAGCAGTATCAATAAGACCTTCACGCCCACCCATGGCATGAAAGTAAAATTCTGAAGGTGTTAATCCGGCAAGATATGAATTTTCAACAAAACCTCTCGATTCCGGACCATAATCATCCTTAATGAAATGTGGAAGAGTACGTTTACGAAATCCAAATGGTATACGTTTGCCTTCTACATTTTGTTGTCCCACACAAGCAATTACCTAAAGCCAATAAAATTGTTTAAGTTTACCAAAATTAAAAACAAATTAATAACTTCATTAATAATAACTAATAGCCCTTAAATTAAATCAATTTAAATACCTGAGAAATATTAATATTGGAACCTTTAGATCCAGCAACAACCATAGCCTTGAGATTATTGTATTCTGTCAATGATTTTTTAGCAGAACCTCCAGTCTTATCACGAGCATCGTTTAATATTCTGTTTACTTGATTTTCAAAAGTCTGACGAAGAGTATTACCTGGTGTTGGCTCAAGATCCATATTATGAGCTTTTTGTATTACTTCTATAACGTCTTCTTTGGCTTTTTTAATAGCTTTTTGAATTTCTAAATAGGTTTGGGGATCGGCAATAGTATCACCAATACCAATAGAATGACCTAAAATAATAATTAAAAATGCCATTAAAATTAATTTTTTACATAGATTTAAATTTAATTACCTTCATATAAAAGCCAATTATTAACCACAGTTTGAATATTACCATAGAACCGTCCACATACTTCATGTCCTAATTCTAACATACAAATGTGAAGCAAAGACCCAGCTGATGTACCTAAGGTTTTTTTACATAATATACCCATCACTAATTCACCATGCTCGACCATAACCTGAAAATAAATATAATGAATTAATATAAATGTAAACATTATTGATGATCAATAAGATGAAATACTGATCTAAGGACTAGTTAAAGTAAAAATTCTAAGAAAAAAATAGTCATAATTGGTGATGGAAATTATTTGATTAATCAAATAATAATAAATTTAGTTTTATTTTAAAAATACCTAATATTTTACCCAGTAGTTAAATTTGTTTAACATGTATCTATTTTTTCTATTTCAAAAATTGTACTTAATATATAATTTACACAATACTTATTTATTTACTTTAATTTATTTTATTTTATTTTATAACTACTTAATTGTTTTATTTTTTTAAGCACGATCTGTTAATATCTAGTCTTTTTTTTTTTATAATATTTTACTTAATTAGTTACAATTATTTTAAAATAATTATCTTCATTAATGTAGAGGTATACACAGAATTTTTAAAAAAATGTTAAATAAATAAATTGTACTTTTGTATCACCAGGAGATATCCATTTATAAGGTCCATTATCTTCATCATCCGGATGAGTGGAATGGGTACGTATCAAATTGACATTTCCAGGAATAATCAATGAAAAAAGTTGTTTTCCTGTCCATAATGGCTTAGGTTTAAGAATACACGGAGTAGGCATTTTTCCATCCCAAATTGGCAAATGCATCAATAAGTTCATCATTTGTTCCTAAAAATAATTTTAAACAAAACAATGTAAAAATATATATTTTTAAATTTATTTTTAAAAAATATAGAAAAATATTGTATAATTGATAACAATTTTAAGCTTTATATTGATTAAGGGTAAATATACATTGGTTTTTTACATATACCAATTACCAAATACATCCTCTAATTAAAAATTACCTTCTCAAGAAAAACATCCCTTTTAGTCATTTTTCTTATAGCTGTCAAAGTATCTTGAACTATTCCCATTACAGGTTTATTAGCTTGAGGAGTAATGATTTGTCTAGGAGTAATATGAATATTTTCTACTTCAGCTCTTGTTTCCATTGATTGTGGAACATGAAGATTCATTTCATCGCCATCAAAATCAGCATTATAAGGAGATGTACAACTAATAAATATAAAAAATATTTATACTTCTTTATCTATTTTAGGCAAAAATATAAAAAAAATACCTCAAATTCATACGAAATGTAGACCATGGTAAAACTCTTACTCTATGACCCATCATACTCATTTTGTGTAAAGTGGGCTGTCTGTTAAAAACTACTAAATCACCATCTTTGATATGTCTTTCAACTTTATAACCACATTGTAAATGTAAATCTGATGGTTTTGGGTGAAACCGTAAATCTATTCTTTCACCATTATCACGTATAATATATTTAGCCCCAGGATATTGGGAGTTACCACGGCGAACCAATTCCAACATACTATTAAAAAAATTGGTTTAAATAACAAAATGCATTTAATCAATGTTATAAATTAAATTTATACAAGTATATAGTATTTAGTTATATTTACTGATCAATGTTAAATGGAGTAACAATTTCAGGAAATGTCATGTTTTGTGCAATAGTACGAGGTACACCAACTTCATCAATTCGTAAATTTGGATCAGGAGTGATAACAGTTCGAGCAGAGAAATCAACACGCTTTCCCATTAAATTTCCTCGTATTCTACCTTCCTTACCTTTCAACCGGGCTTTAATTGATTTCAGTGGCTTACCAGATTTTTGCATTGCCCTAGAAATATAAAAAATAATTTCTTTAACAATTTTTATAATAAATAAATTAACTTAACCTTTATTTAAAGCTAGTTATAAAAATAATAGAGCAAAATTGGAGACAAATAATTATAAGTATTAACCATTTTATAATTTTATTTTTTATTATTTTATACTTATATGAATGTTTAAAATTTATGATATATTCATAATTGGCACAAAATCAATATTAAACAAATAAATGTTTTTAACATTATTATGAAAATACATTTTTATTCAAAATGCAATAAAAATGAAATATTTTTATTACCATATTAGTGCATATTATTAATAAGCCATAAAAAAAAATTAGATATAATAGAGAAAATGATCTCACCTTGGTAAACCAGGCATATCATTATCTACTAAAGTAGCAACATGATATTGTAACATTCTAATATTCTCAACTATAATATGAGTAGCAGCACCAGATTGTTCATTACGGATTAATTCATTATTACATTTAATTATGTCTGACAATTTATGAGTCAAATCATCCTAAAAAAAAAAAAGTTGATTAAATAAATAAAACCACTTTATATTCAAAATATTAATTTATTTACTTGATTTCTCATTGATCCAAACATAACGATAGCTGGACGAACAGGTAAAGGAGGAACAGGTAATACTGTTAATATCATCCAATCAGGACGCGCAAATCTAGGATCCATACCCAAAATTACGACTTCTTCATCGGTAATGTGTTTTAAAATTTCAAGCACACGCTCAGCAGTCAGAGGTATTTTTTTTTCTTGAGAATCTTCATTCACATGCTTCCATTCAGCAGTTAAATCCAAACCAGTCCGCCGTATAGTAGGTTGATATCGACCACAACCACCATGACCTTGTTTTTTGGGCTACAAAAAGAAAATAAGTTATTTATATAACCTGATGAAATAAACATAACACTGAATGCTTTTTTACTTACAGGCATATTAGGATCATTGACGTTATCTTTATTAATGTCAAGTTCATCACCACCTTCACAAATATGTTTACCTTTACATAAATCATAAACAAATGCTAAACGTTTTCTTTGCTGTCCTTTTGATTTCATCACAATTTCTTTTATTTTTGGATGAGTCTGTTTCAAAAATATATTACATATAACTACATGTTAGTATGTAATTTATTTAAATAAATACTTACAGGGCTAACTAATAATTTGGAACAATAAAAACACACACAGCGTAAAATCTTTATGACTTTAGTAATAAAACCTATTTGAAACACAGGCTTAGCTAGTTCAATATGGCCAAAATGTCCACAGCACTCAGTCATGTTACCTGTAAATAATTAATAAATATTATGAAAATTAATGAACAGTCAAATTGATGATAATAAATGATAAATATAATCAATAATACTTCTAACCTGCACATGTTTGACATCTTGAAAAACGATCAATAACACCTTGTCGGGGATCCATGAGTCCCCCAAGTTTGGGACGTCCACCTTCCATTGTCTCTGCAAAACGAATTCCTCCTTCTGTGACTGACATACGACGCTATGACATTTAACACCAATCAATCAAATATGATAGTAAACGGTATTCAAAGTTTTTTATTAACATACATATCATTTTCCAAGTATATTTATAAATAACATAATATATGTAAGTGAAATTACTTTTTATTATCTTTTACACGAGTTACATATTAAGAAACTTTTAATCTATATTTACATAAAACATATTTAGTTTATGAAGGTATATGAAAGTGCTGTAGTATCTACTGAATTCTCTATCAATATTATTGAGATATAATACACTGACGAATGTATTTATATGGTAATTTTAATGGTTCGTACAGTGATAGTAGCTGGGAGGGGAATAGAAACTAATAAAAAAAAAATTTAAATGCATACTTTTTCTATTCCTTTCAATATTATAAATAATAATTATATAAATAAATTAATATATAAGTAAACAAATAGTTTATACATAAAAATAGATAAATAAATAAATGCTTAGTCTAAAGTATCATTATATTTGTAAAGTACGAACATATATCTGACAATATATTTTTAATTTGAAAACTGTCATACTTTATAAATATAAAATTCTCCAAGCAAATTATTTATTTATTTATATATATATATATATGAATTTATGAGTGTTAGCATTTAATAATACTTAATTTTTATTTTATTTTTTATTATTAATTAAATTACCTTTAAAAGAGTATCTACTCAAGTATACCCCAAGAATAATATCATTACCTATGTCTCGTCCCATCAATCATGTCTCTCCGAATGAAATTTCTAATATTATACAAAGGTTAAAGCCCAACAAATCCCCTGGGCATGACTTGATAACAAATAAAATCCTAAAACACCTCCCCAGAAAAACAATTGTCTTGCTTACATATATATTCAACTCTATGTTAAGATTGTCTTATTTTCCTACCATCTGGAAACTATCCATTATAATTCTCATACCCAAACCAGGTAAACCCCCCAATGTACCAACTTCGTATAGACCCATAAGCCTACTTCCAACTTTAGGTAAATTATTTGAGAAAGTTGTTTTGAAAAGGCTAAGACCAATCACAGAAACACAAAAAATAATTCCCAATGCCCAATTTGGATTTCGTGCGAAACACTCCACAATTCAACAAGTTCATAGGCTAGTTGACACAATCTCTTCCTCTTTTGAGAATAAAAAATACTGCCCAGGAATATTCCTTGACGTGGCGCAAGCATTTGATAGGGTCTGGCACACCGGTCTGCTATATAAAATTAAACAATTTCTTCCCGCGCCACTATACCTATTAATTCGATCCTTCCTTGAACATCGTACCTTCAAAGTTCGTCACAGTAACTCTCTTTCTTCTTTTTTTTCAATCCAAGCTGGAGTCCCCCAAAGTAGCGATCTTTCTCCTGACCTATACAACATCTTCGTTTCAGATATCCCCACAACTCAAAACACGCTCTTAGCCACCTACGCCGATGATACCTCCATCTTATCCCCAAATAATAGCTCCGAAGAAGCATTCAATGCTCTTCAACTCCACCTTGACCTTATTGATAAATGGTCCTCCGACTGGAAAATTAAAATCAATGCCGATAAATCCATTCTTGTCTCTTTCACCCTCAATAAAAAAAACACACCTATTATTTTATTTCAGGGAGTTCCCATCCCCTCCTTGGCTCAAGTAAAATACCTAGGAATAGTTTTAGACAAAAGACTAACTTGGGGTCCTCACCTTAAATCCAAAAGAAAGTCTCTCAATTCAAGATCTCACTTACTACGTCCTATGCTAAAATCCAAACTCCCAATCCATAATAAAATACAAATTTACAAATCATTGTTAAGACCAATCTGGTCTTATGGAGCCCAAATATGGGGTTGTGCTAAACCAACCCAAATCAAAACAATTGAAGCATTTCAGTCCATTTCCCTCCGCACAATAACGTCAGCTCCTTGGTTTGTTTCTAACCACACCCTCCATAAAGACTTAACAATTGAAACTGTTGAGAACTTAGTTAAAACCCACTACAAAAAGTTTCATTACAAATTACTTCATCATCCAAATCAACACACAGCCACAATTCCAGGTAACTCCCCTCGTCGCCTCAAAAGATGTTGATGTCGCAACCTCCTAAACTGAAACACCACTCCATGTCCTAAACGACGCAACTCAAAAGGGTCCTATCACTGGATAGCCTCCCTTCTTATGTATCCAAAGTCACTATTATAATTATAAACATATTTGCTTATTGTATTTTATTATGTACAAATTGAAAATGTTATTTTGTCAATAAAAAAAAAAAATAAAAAAATAAAAATAATGTTGAGTAAATGCAATGTATAACCTTTGGGAACACCACTAGTAGTATCTATTCATATTTCATCATATTAAAAGAAAAAGAAACAAATAGTTTTACGAAACAAAATCACAAGCATTAAGTGATAATAGTTTTTTCAAGCTAGATAAAAGATGTATTTAAAACATTTCTATGAATAATGAATTCAAAATTTAAAATCTTTTTAAGAATTTTCGAAACAATTTAAAATAAAAACAATAACAAATTTGCTAATTTGAAGTTAAAGTAAAAACTAATTATTAGTGATTCTTTTTAACACTAAAATACATAAATGTTAACGATTATTTATTTTGGTATTTAAAAAGGAAAATTATTAGGATAAAATGTTTAAAAAATTCTGAGAATAATTTTAAATAATATACAAGAAATGTACAATATTAATTGCTTTAATTTATGAATTTACACTTTGAAGCTACGCTAATTTAGAATAAATTAATCATATAAATTCTAACTTTTATCTAGTTTTATCTACCTACTACAAATTTGTGGGATAATATTTTGTTATTGCACTACTAAAAATTTTAATAATCATCTGTTGTAATAGTTGTAAATGAGGTACATTACAATCTAAAAGAGAAATTATAAGATGCTTAAGGACTGTAAAAATAATTCATAGTGCTTAGTCAATAAACTGTTGCACTTTACCACTGGTTCAGAAAACACCAAAACAATTTGTAAGAAAATACTAATTTGAGATATCTTACACTTAAATAATATCAAACATATAAGATTTGATATAGATATGTTTTTAAATAAATAAGAGAACATACAATATTATAATTAATGGTATATAACTAAGATGACGTAAAAATATTTCTTATTGTTATTATTTTAAGGACATGAATGCAAAATTTTTATTAATCATATCATAAAAGGTTCAAATGTTTTGTCGTAGGTAATAACAATGAATATAAAAAAACAAAATATTGTACGCGACACGGCAGCAAACATCGGTCGCTTGTTACGCGTTGGTAAATACATTGATATACTAACGCATTCGTCCGCGGACAATATACCAAATTGTACCCGCTTGACACTTCGAATTGGAGCCTTTGAGTCACTGGCAGCCATTCTTGATTAGTTTAGAGGGCACTTAGTTAAATTTCAACCACAGAAAAATTTAATCAAATTTGTCAAAATAATACTGGTCCGTAATCAAACATTCTAAGATGGAACAGGGAATGTTCACGGACATTTAATTCAATAGTGATACCGAACCGACTGAGAAGTCGGCTTACACTGACGACTGACACTTCGATACAAAATATTAATATAAATTAAGATAAGACATATATTATAAAACGCATGAACAATAAGTAAATCGTTAAAGAAATAATGGAGAATCGTAGCTGGCGCAGTCAAACGCTGAATGCGATTGCGAGATGATATAGAAGAGTGATCGGGAGAGCAGCTGAAGTCTAAACAACCGCAGCGTCGCAGCGGCGGCTTCTGGCGACTTGCCGCGTAAATTCAGTGTTACCACAACCGTGGGCGTATAGTTTTGTGTTCGAAAACCATGATCGTTAATTTCCCTCCATCTTATATACCATGGTTGAAGCACATTAATGTTGTTCCATACTAAATTGTTACTACAAGATGCAAACAACAAGATAATGTTATCACAGAACTATTGTGTGGCGTTCACACTACATATTTAGTAATAATCTCAATTCGTTTATTAACTATCTGCCCTGGATTGTTTCAAACTTTTTGTAATTTTTTTTAATAATCAAACAGGTAAAGTATTATAAACTTGTGATAATTAACCTTATAATTTTTCTCAACACTCGTATTTTTTTGAAATATTTAATATCCTTATAAACAGGTCAAAATGACAGACAATTCACGAAAACCAAGTCTTTTTGCATTAAAAATGCAAAAACGACAAAGAAATCAACAAAATAGCATGTCTATTGAGTCCGAATTCAACGAAAGCCCTTTTGGAACTGCTAGTGTTTTACTGAGTGGCCCTGAAGCCACTGATATACATAAGGAAAACATACAAAAACTCTCTAGTATGAGTGTTGAGGAAGTTTTAAAAGCAAAACATGAACTAATGAATAGCATAGATGGCAAAGTAATAGAATTTTTTAAATCAAGACGTAATAATAATTTTAATCATGGGAAGTATGATATAAAATCAGCAGATACTGATAAAGTTCAGCTACAAGATAAAAACATAGAAAATAAAATGAAAAATTTACCTCATATAAAAAATCTTGTTAACAATGGTCTAAATATGGATGTAATTGAAGAAGATAAACTTGGATGGACTGGTGATGTAAACATTGAAAATCAGAACCAAGAAATCTATTCTGCTCGTTTCGGGCTTGATGGAAAACTATTACCTTATGCAGTTAAAAATAAAACTACAGTTGATGGTTTACATCATCACGGCGAAGAACAACATCGTCCTGGTTATACTCTAGATGAGCTATATTCATTTCTTCGTAAAAATCATGCTCCTCAAAGAATACTATCCTTAGACATATTAGCTAAACTAATCAACAATGCTTCTACATATGATACTGTTTTAACTAAACCTCTTCTATGTTCTATTATGGATTCTGGTGTATTTATTTTATTCAGAATGGCTTTAGATGACACCAACATTGCAATTATTACAAATGCAATACAAGCTATAGGAAGTTTATTTTCTAGACAGTCAGACCGCAAAATGTTGAATGGTTTATCAGGTTGTAATTGTGACATTGCTTTACCTGTTTACATAGTCTCAGATGCAGAAATTGATCAAAGTGAATTGGATAAATCATCAGATTATGATTTAGTTGTATTAGATCTTGTACAAGGAGCATTGAGAACTGATTTAATTATAAGATTGCAATACATTGTTTTCAATATGAATATAGGATTAAAAAGTCTTGTAGATATATCTGAAATTTTAACTGGCATTGCTTCTCGAGGAGAAAAATATGCATTTATAATTGTTGAGACTAATTTATATAAACATTTATATAGTTTAGTATTTACAAGCTTACAATCAAATGATTTATCAGAAAGCTTCATTTATCTCACACGAGTAATTAGTAGTAAATCAGTAAAATGTGCTAAAAAGATTTTGGAATTAAAAATTCTATATTCTATATTTAAGTATATACATACTCCAACAAAAACACCATTATTATTAGAATGCTTATACTTATGGCAGACTTTTTTTGAATACAAATTGGCTGATCAAACAATTACTGAAGTAGCCAATCTGGTATTAAAGTTTGTTGATCGTTCAATAGGGTTAAGTAGTGATTTAACAAAAACTGATTTGGCTCTGATGTCAGCAAGCTTAAGCTTAATTGAATCAGCCTTAAGAAATTTTGGTCAAGTATATATTGATCCTATTTATCAACTTACAGAGGTTATTTTGTCCAAATTATTGCTCAATTCAAAATTACCAAATTTTGAAGTATCAAAACTTATTGGTAATTGTTTCTCTGTTTTAAGTTCTATAAACTTAAAATTTAATGATCTCACTATGAAAGTAGTTGCATATTTAGATAAACATTTTGGAAAAATGTGTGAAATATTATGTGATAATTCATGGTTAATGAACAATTATATTAACAATAGTCCAAAATGTTATCCCAATCTTGGATATATAAATTTAACATTAAATGAAGGTGAACCTTTGTTCATTTTAATTGGAATTATGAAATTCATGTACAAAAATCCTAAGCATTTTGATGTCCCAATTCAATTTTGGACATATTTAAATAAACTAATGAAGTCATCGATAGAAGTATCACATTGGTATAGCAGATATGAAATAATATTTTTAATATACTTCCTTAAAACTTTGATGAACAATAATTTTGAACTAGAATCAACTCATAAAATTGTCATAACACTAATGTCTTTTATACCAAAATTCATGGCTGAAGATTTGTGTTATGATTTGAACTTGTTTTTTAGTAGTTCTTATATAGAACGTATTAAGTTTAAAAGCAATTTTGAAATTTTAAAATCATTCTATGAAATGTTAATACCCATTGCCAAAAGCACTTGTGCTAGTATATTAATTACTGAATTAAATCCGGTTTTACCTAAAGATTGGTTATTTATACCTATTATAAGAATTCACGAGACTGAATATTTTAAAAGTTCAAAAGAAGGTGAAACTCTTCTTAAAGAAGCATTAGCTAATATATTGTTTATGGAAACACATTATCCAGAAATTAGTGAACAAACTCCTTTAGCTGCCCGTTATTGTCGTGTTGCTTGTACGTTTATGTGTGGTCGTCGTGGTACTATTTTTCACGAGGTTAAATCAGTATTAAATCAAATTTGGCATATATATGCTTCACATAATAGAAATTTAAATTTTAAAGATCCTATACAAGGGATTGAATCATTCTATGATTTTTACAAAACACTTTGTGAACATTATGTGAGTGTATCATATTCTGACCCGGTTTTTGGAGCTTATATACTGCTACCTTTACAAAGAAAACACAGTGTTGAACTAAGGAAACTAGTATGGTCAGAAATAGATTTGCCAGAAACAATAAATATTGATGAAGAACATCTTATTAAAATACCACTAAACAATTACATAGAACCTGTTGAAACTAATGAAGAACTTCTTAAGATGTATTCTAGAGCTTGGAGTTTAAGACGGAAATTAATTATGTACAAAATTGCTATATCACATTTAAAACAACTTTAATTTTTTTTGTTAATTTTTATATATTTACTTTGTTTTATTAACCTAATTGTTTTATTTCAAAGATCATTATGGGTGACCGCTACAATATTCACAGTCAATTGGAGCACCTTCAGTCAAAATATATTGGTACAGGTCATGCGGACACTACCAAATTTGAATGGCAAGTAAACCAACACCGCGACTCATGTGCTTCATATCTTGGTCATTATGATTTATTGAATTGGTTTGCCATCGCTGAGAACGAAGCTAAAGCAAGAGTACGGTTTAATTTAATGGAAAAAATGTTACAACCTTGTGGTCCTCCACCCGAAAAGCCTGATGAATAATTATTTTAAATATGAATTATAAATATCAGAGTTAACTAAATTAGTGATTAATTTTATACTTAAAAATTATAATGATGTAAGAATTTTATAAGTATTTAATTTTTAATTTTTCTTTCTGTAATAAATATTTTAAAATAAAAAACAATAAAAAAAAAATCATATTATTAATTTTTTTTACGATAAATAACCTATGATTAGAAAAAAAATTATATAATATAAAATGCGAATTGTGTTTTATATTATGTTAGTTATCAATAATAACAATTACAAACAAAAATACAAATATTGCTTGCAATTTCTGATTAACTAAATATTTATAAAAAAAAAAAAAAAGTTCTCGAACATAATTACAACTTTAAGCAGGTTTAATAAAAATTAAAATAATCTCAACAAATTTACGTATAATCTATATATTTTTATTTGAGGTAAGGACATTTTATAAAATATATGTACATAAAAAAAACATTTTCCTTTAATCTGTGGTTTGACTTTCAAAATGACCAATTACATCTGTAATAGCTGCAGATTGAACCAATTTGTTTATTTTACAATTTTGATCAATTAGTAATTGTACATATTCTGGGAACATATTGATATCCATTGATCCATTTTGAGAAAATTCAGTGATTTGCTCCAAACTGACCATATAAGCCAACATAACTGTGCCTCTATTCTCTTCGTCCTCTGTCCAGGACAAACATAAAGTTTCTTCATCATATGTTGGATCTACTAAAATTGTATTCTTAAATATTCCCTGTAAAGTAAAAAATAAATAATAATGTTTATGATTTCAACAATAATAAAATTAATTTAATTATATGTTAAAAAATAAAATGATTAATTTTTGTAACTATTCAATTTTAAAAATACACTGAATAATAACTATGTAAATCAATATTATAATATCACATAATTAAAGAATTTTTTATTAAATTTAACTTTAGTTTTAAAAAAAGGATAATTTACATCAATTATAAATAAACTTATTAAATATAAATACAATTTTTTTCAAATTTCGTTAATTTTAAATATACAAGTACACAAAAATAGATCAACGATAAAAGCAAAATAAAATATACACACAACAATCTTATTATTAATGTGTTTTTAAGTATTTAGAATGGCAAATATCACATTCTTAAAATGTAAGTGACCAGTTAAAAAATTATTTAATATAATAAACTTACATTAAATTAATTTAATAATATCATACAAATTCAAATATTTTACTAAGTATTCCAACTATCTAAGAAGAATCTAGTATTTAAATAAATTATGAAGTTTTTTTAATTTTTGCTAAGATGTTACTTCAGTAGAATAGTTGAAAATATTAAACACATCAAAGCTTGAAACATTTAAATTGTATGAATATACATGTATCCTACATGTTATGTGAAAAGTATAGACAAGTAAAATATACCATTACCCAAACCGGAGGCGAATGCAGGGGAAACCCCCCAAGGAAATATCAGGAAAAAAAATAAATTATCTGACCTACAAATGTATTATTAACAAACAAATTTAAAAAATTATTAGTTATTTAAAAATTTTCCGTGGTTTATATATTAATGTATACAATATGATTATATAATATTTATGAATATTTTAAATTTTTTCAAAAACCCCCCCAAAACTTTTTTTTGCGTTCGCCCCTGACCCAAACCAAAATGTGGTTATCATAGAAGGTGAACAATTGATACTAAGAATTTACCATGACAGTCAAATTGTCATTAGGGAAATAGTACAATTTACTCAATTAGATTATGTGTAAAACATACCCATGAATTTGTGCTTAGCATGAATACTCAAATGATACCTTGTGTGGTATTTTGAATTTTTCTTTATGATATTATTAAACATTATGTTCTAATTCAAATATATACCTAGAGTTACACAAAATCATAGTGTGTACATGATAGCAGTGACGTCATTAATCAGATAACGAGAATTATTTTTTAAACATTCATGATTAATTAGCATGAATAATATTAAAATTAATAATTAAAAAATATTGATACTAATCATATAAATTATTCATATTGAAAATTATTGTATGAATAATTGCTCAACTGGATAAACAGCCACCGCACATTTATAGAATATATAAAAATTAACAAACCAATGAAGATGCGACAATCATATCATACATAGGAATACATCCATCCATTAATGCAAGTCCTGCAGCTGTTATAGCAGTAGACAACACTGATCCATCATTTTCTAACACTAAAACATTGACCTGAATTTCAAAATTTGCAAATTCACCCTATAAAATAATTATACTTAATTAAACTTCAATCTGGATACATTACATTATTATTAAATAATAGCATCAATTAAAATGTAATCAAATTCACGCTAAAAGTTTATTTGAAACTAAAAGAGCTATATTTTATAGAAATAGAAGTAAAGAAATTGATGCAATGGCAAATTTGACTTCACATATTTGGTCTTATTTTTGTATTATATAAATTTCATTAATATTTGGAAGAAAATAATTTTTAATAACAAATATAAAATATTTTTTTCTATTTGAAGTGAATTCAAAAATTTAAATACTTATATTTTTTTATTTTAGATCGTTGGTAAATTAAATAAATTTAAAAAACTAATTACCTCAATCTAAAAATGTAAGTAAATGATTTTGAGCTATTAAGAAATATAATTGGTCATTTAAGTTTGAGTAATATTTAAAAATAAGAAATAATTAAATACTAATTTAATTTAAAATTAAAGGATTAAACAATAATTAATTGATTTTATATTTTAAATCTATATTTTATCAAAGACTCACTCTACAAACTGCAGGTTCTATGGCTCTACGGAACTCATTGCACAATTGCCGTTCTTCAGAATCTCTGGTATAATTACGTCGTTGTCGACATGAAAAAGTAGCAAATTTAAATTCACACTGAAGTTCTCCTGTTTTTGCATACTCAACTTTATTAGGAACTTCTTTTGGGTCAAAAACAGAACACAATAGTTTTGTATGACCTTTCTCAACATAGGCTGATCCTTTGGCTTGTGTAACAATTCCAGTCTTGATACCTAAATTGACAAAAAAAGTATGGTTTAAAAAAATGCAATACTTATAATATCGAAAAAACTTTTATATTACATAAATTTCTATGAGCTGAAATATCTCTACCATCACATCGTTCATTCTTCATTAATGCTGTGGCTATTTTGGTAAGTTTTGTGTTGTTTTTGTCAATCAAGTAATGTTGGTAAGGTATGGTCCCTTCAGGCCCTTGAAATCTATATAGATTTGTAGGCATTTTTTTCAGAACAAGAAAACACTAACAATAACACTTATTAACACACTAAAACCAGTCTAAAGATATTTGAATTTCAACAGTTTGGTCCATCAATCCATTTTATGTCTATTGACCGCATGGAGAAAATATATGAATTTCTTATCACACAATTATCTTATCATTGATTTATTTACATACAGTTTATATTTTGACTTATTTGATTACTCACAAATCTAAATCCAATACTGAATTACAGAATGCGTATTTATATTTTATTACGAGTAGATGGAAAAGCACGGAATATTTCATACATTTTTTTTACACTTTTTATGATATATTTTGTCATATCAGTATTTTATTTTTATTATTTTTATTTTTTAGACGTATACATATAACTAAAGACCGGATTTATATTCTTTCAAAATACCTTAAATATGATGCTAATATTCTCTTAAAAATCTTAAAAATATGTAAAAATATTCGAAATTATTCAAAAATAATCAACAAACATCAATATATGGTTTAATATGCATGTTTAAAAAAAAATTTTTTTTACATTCTTCTAATCATGAGGTATATATGTAGTTGCGTATTATAATAGAATACTATTGTACTTCAGTAAGAGTGGGAATTTAGTAAAAATATTACAGTATAGTCTATAGCAGGGGTCGCCAACGTTTTCAAATAAGTGAGCTACATTTGACATTTAAGTCCCTAGTGATTGACATACAGGAAAATTTAGGTCTTTAATCTTTAAATCTAATATTCCCATTATCCAATTAATCTGATTATTTTACGCGATTGACCGATAGTGGTAAAATTAAAAATTACAATTTTACAACGATCGACTGATTGACGATCCCTGATCTACAGTTTTAGAATTTAAAAACAATATTCCTTTGGTATATTTTAATTAATGTTGTATTAACACTATTGTCACAATATTAAAAATAAAAAATAATCATATATATATTAAAATATAATAAAACAAAAAAAAAATTGGTTAACAAAAGGTAATCCTTAAATAATAATAATTTAATACAAGATATAAAATAATATAGGTATATATATATATATATATATATATATATATATATATATATATATATATATAAATGTATAAAAAAACAATATTTCATTGGTGCATACAATGGTAAATATTTACTTTCTGAAGAATAAAAAAGAAAGTTGAAATACTATTTAAATTGTATTATATGATTTGATTTAACAATAATATATTTTACATATTATCTGTACTCATGTTAATTCATCTATCGCTTAAAATTTGTTTATAGAGACTAAATGAACGTTCAACATCAACAGACATTAGAGGTGTTAACTTCAAGTCAACAACTACATTAGGTGTAAAATATTCTGGGAGATCTTCATTGTTTCCACATAAAATGTTCCCAACTTTTGCTAACATTTGGTAACCTTTATTTTTTTAACTTGAGACTCTTTAGTATTTTTATTATGTTACTCGTTTCACCAGGTATATTGGTTAGTTTGCAGATAACAGTTTGTATAATCTCCAACTATTAAAAAAAAATCAAATATTCTAAAATATGCTAAATGGTCTAAATATTCTCTAATTTCGGGTAGTCAGGTGTTCCCGATATGTACATATTAATAAGTTATTAATAATAACTATTAAGTAATATTGTGATTATTTTATTACACATTTTTCAAATTGTAATAATAATATTGTAATATTCTTACTACAGTACTACATTCTTACAAATGTATAGGTACGCATCCTACATTGTACATATATCATTATAACTTTTAAAAATTATTTTTATTCCTGTTTATACTACAAATAAAAATATATATATTAAAATAAGTGGTATAAGTAAAAAATCGCCCTCCCAAAAAAGCCGCCCTAGGCTATAGCCTTTTAGCCTACCCCTTAATCCGCCACTGCCGTCACTGGGTATAATATAATTATATTTATATAAGTAAATACATAAATACATAATATTATATTTACTTATAAATAATAAGTTATTACTTATAACAATTAAATTACAAATTTTTCATTTTTGCGTTCTCCCAGGAATTGCACTCGGGGCGTAGGCACCTCTACCCCCCCCCCCCTTAATACGGCCCTGAAGATTATACCCACAGTAGGCTTTGGTATGATCATATGCCTAGCAGTTTTGACATTGACTGATGACTTTAGGTTTATGTGGAGCAATGATTCGAATTTAAAAATTTAATTTTAATGATCTGTCGGCTCGAGGTCGACAAAAAACAATGGCAGGGCGATTTTACTAATTCTATGTATAATTTGTATGAGTTGTCTGACTTCATACAGGTGGTTTTGAAATTCATTTTTGATTATTTCAGTTGAAGTAGTTGGGTGTATGTTACGAATAACTATACGCATTGGCTTATCCTCTTTTAGTTGAAAAGTGTGGAATTGTGCTTGTTAATTTCTTAAGTACCTAGTGAACTAGTAATCAATAAGCTTCGAGGTTTGAGGTTTGTATTTTTAAATGGTCCACTTTCAATTTGCAAATAAAATTGTCGACACCAATCAGTTCGGCTATTGCTGCACAAGTACCAGCGAAATATTTTACGCCTCACATAAAAATCGGAGTGGGTGGTTTAGAAGAAATGAGAGCTTGATCAGCAGTTGATTGACTTTCTTTTACAAAGGTTTCGTCTGGTGCTTCAGTTGGTTTTAGTAATTCGAATCAATATCGAGTTGCGAATAATTTTTTATTTATGTGTTAAAACATATTTGGAGATGATTGTTCGGAGTTAGACGAACTTGAGTGATTACTTTTACTATCGTTATTGTGCCATGACTTCAGTTTATTTACATTAGCATTTATCGTCTTGTTTTTATTATTTTGAAAATTTTGTTAAAATTATTCATATTAAATATTTAACTGTAGTATATTGATAAGTTGTGTGGACTACAAAGTTAAGTGTCGTAGATTAATCACGTGGTCTAAGGTCACCACCATGGGGGTGCTTTGTAGTAAATATATTATATAAGGCTGGTCAAGTTAATGATATTTTTTAACTCAGTTAAGTTAATTGAGTTCATGTTCAATTAAATTGATGATTAAGTTAATGCACATGAGAATTACATCAATTAAATCAGAGCGCTCATATAAGTGATATATATAAAGGCTTATAAAATGTTTGGTCAGCTACGACGGCCTAATTATAAATTATATTAATTACATTTTAAAATTATTGACGAACAAAAAAATCGTCATTATTTGAAAACTGAGGTAAGGAACTAGTTTTTTTTCTTAAAGTTAGTAACGGAAAAGGATTTAATTCCTTTGTAACAAAATTAACATGAAAGTAAACTAGTTGCTTTATTAAAAGAACTCTTCAAGCACTGAAAAAATGTACCTAGTATCAAAATTGAATTTTTATTCTTTAATCGGCTTGGAAAAATAACTTTTGATTTTTAATTTTCTATAAATTCATAATAACCGTTTTACAAATTAAGTAATCTTGAACATTTTAAAACATCGCAATTTAAAATTCAATAATTGGTCAATTGGTTTTTCTAAAAAAAAAATTACTTCTATAAACAAGATGAATTAAAAAATTGGCAGTTTTAAAAGAAAAAATATGATATGATTCATTGGTTTTAAATTACTTAATATTTTTGACAAACTAAAAATTAATTAATAAGTATTTTATCAGAATATTAATGAGTAGATAATGAAAAAAATTCGTAAATTCGTTTTGACCGGTCTTTTATTTTCAAAACAGTTATTTTTTTTATTTAGTAAAGTTCATAAAAAAACGAATCCAGAAAATAAGTATTGCGTTGTCATATGCATGCATACATTTTACCATTTATTACAAATAGTAATAATCAATGATTTTACCAACAATCGCTAATTGTTTGAGGCTTATTATTATATAAATGATTTACACGTATAAAAACAACAAAATATTATTTTACTAGTTAGATATATAATAAAATATATGTTTAATTATAAAAATTTGTTTAACATTATTAAATCAACGCATTTTTTATATAATTAATAAATATTAAATAAATGTACCATCTAATTAACACAAAAGAACATTTCGTTGTATTGATTTGGTGAAGGATACTTGCAACCAATTTGATTAATAAATTTCAAATCATGTGGATTTATATTAAGTTCATATAGCTGATTTAAGATTTGTTTCCACGTAGAATATTTGCCAGGCGTTTTCTTACGACTCCAAACAATTATTAATGGATCGCTTGCAGAGCCTTTTGAAAATCAAAGATATGAAATCATTTTTAACATTTTCAAATATGTTTAAAATATTTGATTTACTAACGAGGCTTAATCCAAGAAGGGCCAATATCATAATAATAAAATTGAGATTCGTAAACCAACATTATTTTTTTCGATTATGTTTTTGTTAAAAAAATAGCCTGTGTATATGAACTAGTGCGACCAACTAAGTATAAATATTGACTATTTTTACTTGAATTAATTAAGCCGGATTAGGTACCGTTATTTTGGCCAATTTTAATATTTTAAAATGTTCTTTTTTAACATCGACCATTCTTGCATTAAGCCACAAAGTTTTACGATCTGACAGTTACATTTATTTTTTAATAGATACATTGTAACAATATTATATTAATTTTGTAATGTGTACAGTGTATAATTTAATTAAAAATATGTATAAAAAACATTCTTACGCACTTAATGTAACTTGAGTGATCATGTAAAAGTTTTTCTCATTCAAGGCCATAATCTCTAATTCCAAATTCATAAAATCTAAAATATAGGCATTTTATCAATAAGTTAATGTTTTTAGTTTAAATTCAATTGTTATCAAATTAAAACCAAAATATTAATCATTATACTTAACAGAAGTAAGTAACACATGGACTGAAAAGTCCCGGACCTAACAAAGAAAACACGGTTTTTTCATTAAAAATTAACTTTATTCATCAACATAATCTTCATCAAGAGCAACACAATCGTTCCAACACCGTTCTAACATTTTAATAGGTACCATTCTTGTAGAACGATTTATCTTTTGGCCTCAGTTTCACTGATAACCTCTTAATTTAAGCGAAATTTCTTACCAGCTAGCATTTTTTTGAGGTTTGCGAATAGCCAGTAGTAGCTGGGAGCCAAATCTGGAGAATACGGTGGATGCAGAAGTAATTCAATCTTTAATTCGTGTAGTTTTGCCATTTTTTTTTTTTTGACTTGTGACACGGTGCGTTGTTTTGATGAAACAAAATTTTTTTCTTTACCATATGCGGTCGTTTTATTGAGATTTTGGCCTTTAAACGCTCAATAACGCTATATAATATTCACTATTGATAGTATTTTCCTTCTCAATGTAGTCAATTTTCCATCTGATTATTGTGATTTCGGGCGCTTTGATGACGCTCAGATGACGATCGTTTTGACTCTGGAGTAAAATGATGGATCCATGTTTCATCCATTGTAACATATCGAAGCAAAAATTCTGGTTTGTTACATTTGAACATGGCCAAACACTATTTAATCATCGACACGATGTTGTTTTTGCTCAACAGTGAGCAAACACGGCACCCACTTTGACCAGAGCTTTCTCATGGACAAATGCTCATGCAATATAAAACCAATACGTTCTTTTGATATTTTTAGTATGTCAGCTTACTCATGCAACTTCACTTTACGATCTTTTAAAACAATTTTGTGGATTTTTTTAATATTTTCTGATGTTACCGCCTCATTTGAACGCCCACTGCGTTCTGCATCATCAGTGTCTCTATGATCACGTTTAAAATCAGGATACCAACGTTTTATTGTAGTTTCTGATGGAGCAGTGTCCCCATAACACTTTTCAAGCTATTTCTTCGCTTGAATGGTATTTTTTCTCATCAAGAAGTAATGTAAACTTAATACACGAAATTGTTTTTGATCCATTATTTTGAAAAAATCAAAAGTACCGCCACTTTAAATAATAACTCAAACACTAATGAACATATTGTCATGAAATTTTAACAGCTGTTTTCTGTAAGTTCCTACCAACTGAAAATGAGGTGAATTCCTCAATTTTATCTATGTTTTAGGTCCGGTACTTTTGAGCCCATGTGTTACTTATTATACTAAATTCCTATTAAAACCAAAATATTTATCATTATACTAAACAGAAGTACATAGTATACTAACTTTCTGTTCCACTAACTTTTTCAGAAACATAATATTTTCCTTTTAGTGCGCTTAATTGCACTATGACTCCTAAAACATACATTTAAAAAAAAAAATTATAAAATTGATCTTGCTTTAAGTTCTAAATTAAATAAGTTGTATTTACGACTATATGTAAACCCGTTTATTAAAGAACTATCCTCCGATTGCGATTGCGATATACCTCCCATATCGATTGTTAATAGTGAAGATCTAAATAATGTTACACGATAAACAAATAATTTATTATAATATTGCTGTGCCATTCGTCATAATTCTTATTTAAATTATCAAAAACGTCTTACTGGTTGTCAAATGCATTTGTGTATACCAAAAATCCATAAGATTGAAGAGTAACAATATATGCTGACATACACTCACATGGACTTAAATTATCTATTTAGAAAATAAAAATAAATATATAGGTAAATACACTTTAAATAATTACATTTACTAACATCCACCAAAATTTATTGATATATATGTATGTATATTATTCTAAATTTATTTTAAGTTATTCGATTTATAGTGTTATAAACACATTTACATTCAATATATTATTTTAACATTAATTTTAGCATAATAAACTATAAATGAAACTTAAAGTAGGTATGAACGTTTTCGGTACATATCTTTGACTTGAACTTTACGATTTAATAAATATTTATATATCTACTTAAAATATCATAGTTAA